GTAGTGGCACGAAAGCCATCTGACCTATAGCGATCGAAGTCACTTACACACTGAGGACCGTGAGGAGTGAAGCAGTGAGGACTACATGTTTGTTTCAATCAGTGTGATGTTGCAAAGCCGCTGACCACTGAGACCGAGTTGTGGGTCGTCCATTGTGTTCAAGTTATGGTTGTTCCACGAGCTATGCCGCGAGCGTGAACGTTGCTCTTGGTACATTAGCTTGCTGCTCGTGATTCGTGAACTTTCTGGCTGAGATTCCGCGGATTTTGTCACGGCGACAATGCGCGGAATTGAGTTATAATTCACTTATAATTTTACACATCCTGCGTAATTAGTGTGAATATTTGCAATTACGCAGCATGTTGCGGATTTAATTACAGACGTATCAGTACGTCTGATGTCGCATTATTTCCAGTCCTGGCCTCTTAGCCCTTAGGTAGGGTAAACGCGGTATATTCCGACATCGTAGGTAATTCCGTCACTTCTCTAGTTTTTCCTTTATATTAAGCTTTGTTTTAGTTCCATGCGTTCATTGATGGTTGAAATGGTGACGTCATACATTTGCGTGTCGAAATACTGCAAAAACACTAGGTCTTGGCCATCTAGTGGGAAAATATTGAGAGCATTACGTATCAGTTAAATTTGAAGCGCTGATGCAATACGACTCACCACGTGTCAAATATTGCCACACACAGTGACGGAATATAGGGATTTGGTAGGTTTCCATTCTAAAGGCTTTTTAATAAATATGGCAACATTTTGTGACGTTTCATCGTTGCTGACGCGTAGTGAAGTGTTTTGAGAGTCACGTGAAGGCAACAGAACTTACGTAACGCATACGGTTTTTTTTTATAGTTTTTCATTTCTTGATGCATCCTTAAGGTGTCGGAATATAACGCATTTACTCTAGGGTAAACGCTGTATAGTACGACATGCGACATCGTTGGTAATTCCGACACTTCTTGACTTTTTTCCTTTATATTAAGCTTCTTCTTAGTTCCATGCATTCGTTGATGGTTGAAATAGTGACATCATACTTTTGCGCGCCATACATACTATTGCCAAAACACTAGGTCTGGCGTCTGGGCCGTCTGGCGGGAAAATGTTGAGATCCAAAGAGAGACAGTGCGCGTCACCCAGTGAGAACATTGAAAAATGTGTCAAAGTTGATAGTTGACCTTGCTCTACCAAATAGTGATAAACTTTGTGTAGAAAGAATATTATGGTTTGAGACTTTTAAATACGTCTGTGAATATATTAGGAATCATTTAAGTATACTTATATTTGCTGATTTCAAGTGGTAAAAAAATTAATAGATGATTAATTTAAGAGACGGTTTTAGACACATAAAAACTAATTCCAATACAGCTTGGAATTAGACACACACAGCTTGTTCCAACTTCCAAGCTGTGTGCAAAAATTAAAATTTTCTTAATTAAAAGCTTAATAGCTCTCAATTAAAAGCCTAATTAAGTAGTGTTCAATATTCAATAGTGTTCTAATTCCAAGCTGTGTCGTATTCCAATACAGCTCACACAGCAATCAGAATTCAAACACAAGAGTGTTGGCATTATGAATTAGTAGAGTTTGAAGCGTGGCCGGAATTAGTCTCACAAAATGCTGAATTTAGTCACACACAGTGTTGGAATATATGGATTTGGTAGGTTTGCATTCTAAGGGCTTTTAAATAAATATGGCAACATTTTGTGACATTTCATTGTTGCTGGCGCGTAGTGCGGTGTTTTGAGAGTGACGTAAAGCAAACAGAACTAGAGTTGCGCGTACGGTGTATTTTTTATAGCCATTCATTTTTTGCTACATCCTTAAAGTGTCAGAATATACTGCATTTACCCTACCCAAAGTGGCAAACCAGTGATTTTTTAGAATAAGTTCATTTTTAATTTTCTCATTTACTCAAGATTTAAACCAATATCTTGTGTACAAATTATGATGGTGCTTGCAGCCTTCCTGGGCTGGAAAAGTCCTATTTTTCTGAAATATTGCGGCTCTAATATCATATAATTTCAGTAGGTATGAAATCTTGCGGCTCAAATGTCATAAATTTTTGTTTGATCAAAAAAATTGCAGTTTGCCCTTCGCAAACATGTCATTTCATAAAATTTTCAGCTTCTGCAATCTGCATATCTTTACCATTCCCACTGCATTACTTATCCTGCAGAACATACGGTAATCATCATTCATCGTAATATTAACAAGTTAACCTAACATTTGATTGAAGATTGCGCAAAGTTGGGGTCACGACCGTCACATTAAAGCGGTCAGACTGCATTGTCAGTTGTCACGTGTTCAGCTCACAGTAAAGACAAATGTTATTGTTGCCATTTGACTGTTTTAGGGTAAAATTAGAGATTTGGGGTAACATGTGCATGTACTTTGTAAATAAATTCACGCCTTGTAAATGGCTTTTCATGGCCGAGATATGTAATTCATGGCCGAGATATGTAATTCATGGCTTGATAAAATGGAATCATGGCTCAAAGAAATGAAAACACGGCTGGCAAATCCATAAAACCACAGCTCAAAAAATTCAGTAGCGGCTTGCCAATGCCAAGTAGATAAATCACATACATGTGGTGCTGGCTGTGCTGCCATACTGATGCTGGTAATCTGGTATCCATGATACTTTGCTGGTCTACTTATAGGACTTAAAATTAAACTTGAAGGAGCGCCAAAAAAAACTCTGCTTTGCTGTTATGTAATCCAGCCTCCGGGACATTTATAGTAACAGTAAAACTTAATTTTAAAATGTTTGAAGCATGCAAAGTGCACTCATTCTTTACTAAGTGTAATAGTAACACTAAACAGTACTCCTAAGTCCAAGGGGCAAGGACCAAAGTCCTCTTCTTTTGTAGATGTAATATACCGTCAAGTGGGGTAAAAAGGGACGTGCGGGGTAAATCGGGACGCGCCTCCAACATTTTGTAGAAATGTTGTAGCAGCTAAACTAATCAAAATATTGCAAAACTAAAAATAGTGGCGTAAACTTCAACATTTTTACTATCTATTATGTATAAAGTTAGTCAAGAAATCAAACATATACTATCTCTAAAAAATCGCTGAAAAAAAAGTGTGAAAAGTGCGATTTTGGAAAAGTACCTCTGCTAAGGTCTGGAGCAAAAAAAATATTTGCCGTATAAAAAAATTTTACATACATAAAAGTTGCACCCAGGTGTTGGCTGGAAAACGTAATTGACGGAATTTGCCTATCTCATTCCAAAACAAAATGGCAGCCATTTATGCACGGCGGGGCTACTCGGGACACCACCCTGGGGTAATTAGGGACACCCTTAAAAATGCATTTACAGTAGAACCTCGGTTAGCAAAGGTTCCAGTTAACCAAAAAGTTCATTAACAATAAAGAATTTTGATAACATTTACCTCGCTCAGCGAAAAAAAAAAATTCACTTATCGGAAAATTAGTGCTTCAATGGTCGTCACAAAATTGTACATATAATGCTATATATAGAATTGTGCACCGGGCATCATAGAATGAAAAGTAATTGACCTAAAATATGATTTATTTCTCCAAAACATATGATGGTTGTTACTAAAACATTATTTTCTGTTTCAGGTATGTTTTTCGCAATCTTTTTTGTTATAGTGAAATCACTTGACTCAATTAAAATTGTGCAAAATTACAAACCATCCTGTAAGCTTACAGATACAGAAGAAATGCTACATGGCTGCTGATATGAAGCTTGCAGTGGACAAGGTCGTTGTCAATGCTCAATGGCATGTCCATGGATATAGTAATATCACATTAATAATACGGTAATTAATGAATATGGTAATATATCAATAATGGAAAAACAAGTAAAAAATCACAGAAAATGTCATTTATTTTTCATCTACACCATCTACAATGAAAGAGGAGGACTTCAAAGTATTGTTAGTAATGGATGAGTACACTCTGCATGCTTCAAACGTTTTAAAATTAACTTTTATTGCAAGTGTCCCGGATTACCCCACTTTGAGGGGTAAATCGGGACAGTTTTATTTTGCGTCTGGCACCTTACGAATAGCATATGGAATTTTTTGAAGATGCCATTGGATAACCCTCGCAAAGAGCTATAAAATGAGCCTAAACTTGTTTCTGAAATGTTTCATGGTAAGAAGTTATTAACAAAAAACGCTCAAATCCGTCCCTTTTTGCCCCGTTTGACGGTAAATGACATTTTCTGTAATCTGCGATTGGTAATTGTTTTTCCTTTATCAACATGATATTACCTTATCCATAGTTCCATACATTACCTATTAACAAATAAGGATATTAATGTAAATCATGTGACATTACTGTATCCATGGACATTTCATTGGGAACAATTAAGACTGTAAAAAACATACCTACCTGAAGCAGGAAAGAATATTTTACTGACAACCATCATATTTTTTGGAGATATAAATCATAGTTTAGGTTAATTCCTTCTCATTCTATGTTGCCCAGTGGACAAAATAACATCCAATGCACAACTTTGTGATGCATGACAATGCAATAATTTTTTGTTAAGCAAAATTTTTTTGCTGTGCCAGGTAAATGTAATCAAATTTTTTTGTTGTTGATTGATTTTTTTGTTAACTGGAGTCTGGAGCCTTTACCAACCAAGGTTGGAGGCTTGTAGCCTTGAAGGTTCTACTGTAAATGTGTTTTTAGGGGTGTCCCATACTCCCGTTACTTGTGTAGTACCCCTGGCATTATGGCAATGTCTCTTATTACCCCATCTTGCAGAAATGGCTGCCATTTTGTTTTGGATTGAGGCCACCAATACCAAAATTAGACACCTTTTGCCACATTTTCAAATCAGTTTTTCCCAAACTGTAGTAACCACACAAGGTATAAGAAGCTCCAGTCTTCCCTCTTCCATAATTGCCTACGTCACTCACTAATGGGAAAATTTTATCAGTGCCAAATAGCATAACTCTAAATTTTGAAATAATTTTGCTGCATGTCTCATCTGCTGTGTGCATATTCATGTTGACTTGCTGAGAGTTAATTTTTATCTATTATTATATTTAGAGTTTTCAGTTGAACAAAAATGGCTCCAAAGAGAATTTTTTATTTATTTAAAATATTTCTAGTGTATTTTAGTTTGAATTTTGGAAGTGTCAATGTTGGAGCCACAGATGCCAATGAAGGGGATGCTGAAGCTGCAGTGAAGTGTGATGCGTGTATGCTGATTGCAACCAAGGTATGTGAAAGCAAATTAATATTATGTTATCATTGAAAACACATATGTGACACAAGCTACAATTAAATTGATGGACAGTAGTTTACATGATCAACTATTATTTCTTCTATTACTTTCAGTTTAGCAAATCATTTTCTGCTGCTGAGGAACGCATCAGGAGTGTACGACTCTCAGACCAACAGTCAATGGAAGCAACAGAAAGTGTTTGTGACAGTCAGTGGGTGAACTACAGCACTGTCATGGTTGATGGTGCCATGAGACTTGCAGGCCCTGATACTGGGCGGTAAGTTGAGTAAATTATCCATGTTTGCTGTGCTCATGGAGATCATGCATCAAACCATATTTTTGTATGTATAAATTATTAAATTTTAAGCAATTATATTATTAAGCTTGTTATTATTTCATTATTAACAAATTGGAATTATCTTGCTCAATGTACTACAGAATCTAATAAATTAGTAAACAAATAAAAATTTAACAGGGGATCAAAATGCAGAAGTTTCTTATTGATTTTTTCAAAAAGGTACACTTTAGATCCCTCTTGTATATAGGTTCATTTGTTTTCCACTCAACAGATTTCATCCATGAACTTCACTGCATCGCCACTATGAACACTAAACTTTGATATACCATGTACTTATAAGCACCTGAAAGAATTTCTTGCTTAAAGTGAGGCACCTACCACTGTTCTGAGATTATTGATCAAAGTGGTACAATGCTTTGCAGGGAGGCGAGTGTGTTGGATGGAGGAGACAATGTGTGGTCCCACCGCCTGCAGGATCTCTGTGATGAGCTCCTGGCCGAGGTCACCAGTGAGCGGATGCTATACGAGGCCTGGGCATCTGGTGGTGAGGATGCCCTCGAACATACGCTCTGCAGGGGCGTGGGTACCTTCAGTGCCTGCTCTTCTGACAACTTTGGCCCTTGGCCAGGCGATGACGACTACGATGATTATGATGAGAATGACGATTTTGATTATGTTCACGATGAGTTTTGAACAAACATTGGTTACAAGGATGCCAATGTATTTTTTTTTTCTAATACAGCATTCTAGCGTTGATTGACTGCAAAATATGCACTTGTGAGTTGCATCTTGCTGCTCGTGATTTTATCTGAGCCTCCTCAAAAGAGCTGTACAAAGATTCGTTGATCTGCTTGATCAAAGACGCTATTATTATTTTTTTGTTGTTGAAAATCTGTGTACAAGCTGATCTTCAGGTTGCTTTGATTTACTCCTGGCATTTGATCATGCATTTAACCTTCATTTTATAAGTTAATAGTGAAACTATCATTTGACAATTTAGTAGTCATAACTCGTATGTCAATAGTAATTCCGACTCTGTGCCATCTGTCCTACTGTGTACTTTAAATATGAAAATAATGCATCTGTCTTCTGTTGCGGATGACAATTACGAGGGTCATCTGTAAAGTAGTACCCGTTTGGTAATTGAACAAAAGTAAGTAAATATTAACAAATGGAAACATGATTGTTGAAAAGAACATGTATTATACTACTTCTCTACATAATCTCCGGACAAATTTAGGCATTTGTCGTATCGTGACACGAGTTTTTGTATACCAGTGTCATATATGCCTGCTCCGCCAGTGTTTCTGGGAGCGGCAAGGTGTACTGCTCATCGATTTCATGACCCGTGGAGACACAATCAATGCCAATGCATATTGTGCAACATTAAAAAAATTACAACGGGCAATTCAAAATCGACGGCGAGGTCTGTTGTCTACTGGCGTCATTCTCCAGCATGATAATGCCAGGCCGCATACGGCTCGGATAACACAACAACTTCAAAAATTCAAGTGGGAAATTTTCGACCATCCACCCTACAGTCTTGACTTGGCTCCTTCAGATTTTCATCTGTTTACGAAACTCAAGGACTTCGTGGCAAGAACAAAATTTCAAAATGACGAAGAACTGAACGAACACTTGACTGCGTATCTCAATACACTGGCGGCGGAGTAATATGACACTGGTATACAAAAACACGTGACACGATACGACAAATGCCTAAATTTGTCCGTAAATTATGTAGAGAAGTAGTGTAATACATGTTCTTTTCAATAAACATGTTTCCATTTGTTAATATTTACTTCCTTTTGTTCAATTCCCAAACGGGTAATACTTTCCGGATGACCCTCGTACATTGGCTTCAGAATCACCCTGTCTGTGAACTTATAAGTCATACTAAAGCTTAGTATTTGTAATGCGTCTTTCTCGCAGGGTAAGCAAAACTTATCGTTCGCATGCATCACTATTTCCATTGCAAGTGTTCTTATAATAGTTTGCTACTTAATACTTAGCAATATAATAAATTCGTATCCTTTGCAATAATAAATAGGCTTAATGAAGAACTAAACTTTTTTTGTACGCGTTAGCTCTCCAGCAAAGCCAAATTTTTGCTTAGTGGATTGGATTTTCCTTCCATCTTGTGATCAACGCGACTCGGATAAGATGTATTTTTTTGCAACTTTCTGATCGGTGACTTTTCGAACTCTAAAGGAGCATTGCTCGAAGGTGAATTGAAATCCGCATTGCCTAATGTTTTCATTGACTAAATTTATCCAATTAAAATGCTTTACACCATTTCTTTAAGGTTATTACGCAAAATTTAGCAAATTAGTATGTTGTCATTTTGTTTCTCGTAAGAGCTAAATTCAGTGAATAAGCGCGTGGGCAAAGTGTCGTTGCAACGCCACGCAGCCAATAATAACCATTAATACGGCTACTCATACATACGTGGCAATGTAACTGCAAGGGATGGATCGTTGCAGTCCCACAGCAGGCGAGCTCTCATGCCCATTGGTTGTACTGTCCACGTTAAAGCCGGTTTCATAACGAAGATAACTTATTTTTCTAGCTTTCTCTGTAAATTAATGTCTAAGTTCACTTTCTGCTGAAACATTTTCTTTCTTTCATTTTCTGCTCTAACACTCGTGTAATCTCGAAGAATAATTTTAATCCATAATGAATGTGTAAGTATTATACCTATAATTAAGAACGGCGTTTTTCTCACGCTCTAGTAACGAGTAAGTTCAATCATATTTTTGTAATGTTTAGCCCGCTCGTGACGATTCACAACATAATGTGCATTTATTTTTTTTTAGTCCAGGTCACCCCGAGTAGTAAATTGTGAAAATATTTTTGAATTAGTTTCACTGCAAACTTAGGCATCACATTGCGACCTATGACGGCTTGCATTTTTGATGGCACCGGTACTGTTAATAGCATAATTGACTACTGCTTCGAATTGATTCACCGGTTTCATTTAAAAGTAGACAGTTTTACGTTGAAATCAGTTTACAGGCAAATTGTCGTAATTTTACCTAAGCCTCAATTTTCCCATGAAGACCGTTTTTTCGAAATTCTGTCAAGAATGTTTTCAGATCAGCAATTTGCACCTGGCCACTGCGAGTTCCTATCAGAGCCAAAAATAAATCATGCTCAATCATAAGGAAAATTGAAGCCTTATTACTAAGTCACTTTTATTGAAGAAAATAGAGAAATAATGCCTAGGTCTGCACGTCAGTTAATATACCTTAATAGTTAAGTAGGAGAGCGACGCATTGTATCAGATTTACGAGGTCTTTGATAGCTATAGTAGATGAGGCTCTTAAGTATAAACTTGTGATTTTACCGAACAATATAAGCCTCAAAGTATTTAATAAGCTGCTCATCATGCGAGCCATCATCCAATCAAAAGATTCTATTGAATGAACTAACGTCTAAAACGGACGCGCAAAGAAGCCAACAAGAAGGAAGGCTGTAGGAAGTTATCTAAAATATCCTAATAACTGGCATCTTAAAACTTAAAGGAAACTGAAGTTAGTTAAAGTTAATTCAGTTGTGATGCGAGGCCTGCTCGACGATCACTGGAGTTTGACGGGGATGAGGATGCACACTTGATCCACGCCGGCCTGGTCTTGCAGCGCCCACTTCACCGTCAGGCGAAGCTGCTCGAGAGCATTCATGTATGAATATCTATTATTCGTTAAATGGTATTTGTTACCGATTCCTTAGGTTGCAAGGAAACTGTTCAATTTTTCATGAATGTGGCATTCATGACCTGTAACACAATGTATGCATACCATATCATCAACTTTACACGTACAAACTTATGTGCTGACTGAGAAGCAAGATATTATCGTACACGCCAGTACAACGACTGAGATGCAAGTTCATTATCGTATCCAGTTTACCGATTGAAGATTTAAGTTTAAGTTATTGTACCGACCGAGGGGTAAATGGGCTTGACAGGAAGCCCCTCAAAGTAGGTGACGTTGGTGTGGGCAGCGACAGGGCACGTGAGGCTCTGGCCGCACGCCTCGGGGTTGTCCAAAGGGAAGGGGATTGGGATGCCGCCGATCACCCCATGCACCACAGCCTTGAGTGATGTGATCTCCGTATCTGTGCACCACAAAGATATGCCATCACACAAATATTCCTCTTAATGTCTAGGAATCGACGAGTCTCTGTTTTAATAATATAATATATATATTCACATCTTGCTACACCGGTAATATAACACGTCGTTTACTTTGAAAAACGTGAGGCATTAAGACCATTTGTGAACAAAATTGTTAGATCTGTGTTAATGGGATCCGGAAATTTTTATTAATTAGTCGTGTATTCAGTAAGCTCAGTAGAATGAATGTATGCACGACGGAATTCAAGTACGGAATTCAAAGCTAAAGCCGGTCGACATGCTGCGCAGAAAGCTCGAGTTACAGACACCGAGCGCTTCGCACACACGCGACATGAGAATCCCACAGTTCGGACGAGGCATAAAAAATAAGCGTGAAAGTTGAGTAACCGCAGACTCACCAAGCGCGAACAAAAAATGATATATAAAAAAAAATTTGTCCAAGACCCAGCACAAATTTCCTTTGTTCGGATTTTACATTTACGTTACTAGTTTTGTTCATCCGTTGACGGGATATAATTGGAAATATACATTCGTTTGATATTATTAGCAATAAAGGTTACCAGACAATAAACATGCTAAACATTTTAGCAGTTACCATCTTAATAATAATTTTTCTCAGTATATCCGTATATAACAAGAGCCAAGCGTCACGCTATAAACTAGTGATCAAAACTAGGTCAACCTGTTGACCGAAAACCGGTTCCCGCCAACAAAAGTGAAGTCGTACGACGCAGGTTTTTCCCACAAGCTTTTTTCTCCACTCTGAATTGTTAGTATCGAAGAGGGCACGACAGGCTTACAAGACCTGAGTGTTGACACCGCGTCTTGCATCACTTCCTACAGCGCGGCAACCCTGCACACTTTCAGCGACGATGCTTTGTCTGACTACGTGATGCTTATAGCCGCAAAATACAAAGAATATTCGCAAGTAAGAAGCAAGCCTTCGAATGCTTCGGAGCACTGCGCACAACTTTCAGAATCAGTAACGAAAAAATTGAATACGTGTCATTGGTCGAAAAAGCGAAACAATCATGCCTATTTTATTTCAATTGTTCTTTTTCAATGCAGGTGAAACTATCGCACAGGAAATGATTACATAGATGCAATGAGAGCGACCCGACATAGCATGGTTCGATTTTTTTAAACATTTTGACAAAGCTCGAGCAGTGTGCAATTCACATTTCCTGAACACCTTAAAACACCGTCAAGGCCTGGGTAATTTTGCGTTATATTCGCTGCTAATTTCCGAATTCACAAATTCAGGAACATACTTCCATGACAGGCCTTAAATTCTAACAACATTAATTTTTACAAATCTCTGATTTTTATTTCCAACATGACTTGTCAACAGAAAACCACAATACTACGATCTGATTATCATTATCAATGCTATGAGACTCACTGGATGAGAAGGGGATGCTCAGTTGGGCAGTGTGGTTCTTCTCGAAGATACAGTAGGGGAGTTTGGGGCTGCATCCAGTAATCTGAATATTCTGATAGTCGATGTTTGCTTTCCCACCTGCAAAAAAATCATAAGAATCAATTATGAACGCGGTCAGTGACTCCCGAATAAAGTATCAGAAACATATACTTACAGTTCTGAGCATCAAAATTGTATTTGATTTTATGAAACGAAGATAAAAATTGCGAGTTAATGAAATATTAACTCACTATGCAAAATAGACATATTCGATTAATCTAATCAAAAAGGCTATGGAATACAGAATAACCACGGTTGAATCATATATTGTTAAGCATTCAATTTAATTTGTAGATTTGCTTTCTTATGAATGACATGCGCAACTATCCATAACAATGACGCAAGCACTGCTTAACTATCAGCAATAGTTCCAATTTCAGTAACAATAGTTACATTTTCAGTAAGACGAGTAACTTTATCAGTATCATCAATATTGATAATATTTAGGTTGAAATAGGCCTCAATTCTGTAGCAACAGTATTACATCGTATGGGCTTCTCTATCAATGCGACCAGACAAAGGGTAATCAGCAGCAGTATTGACAAAGGCCGACATTCAGGTTAGTGCAGGCTTTGTTGCCCAGGAGTCCAGGACGGATGACCTGGTCACAAGGTACTTTCATCGCATCCACAACACGGAAGCGTTGTGTGTTGAAGGTCATCCAGACTCATCCCTTCACCCACTGCAAGAACGCGCGCGGTAACGCCAACACCCAACACACTACCGAACTTATAGTCAGGTATCCTGATTAAGAAGGAAACTTACGGCAAAAACTTTTTCCAACCAATCGCCAAATAAATGAACTTCGTTCGAACGAATAAAGGTCTATATCACATAGGTCCGAAACATAACCGGAGCAAACTCACGAATTTAACGGTATACATGAACCCAATTGTCTTCAAGGAGAAAAAATATTTTATTTCTGCAACTAAGTGCAAAGAAATTAACAATAAATATGATATACACGACACGAGTATGAGATGAATAAGTGAAAGTTACCAAACACTCCGAGGGGGAAAATGAGAATTGCAGATTTGATACCGTGGGTCATGGCATTTGATGCCGCGGTATAAAATTCGATAAATAAGCGCAAAAAAGTATTTTCTGTTTACTCAGAGGCTAGGCTCCCAAATAAGTGTTACCGTATATGATATAATTACTTAGAAAGGTTATTTTCAATAACTATCAGCCATCTGGTGATCAATTTCTTAATCTTCGCGTAATTTATTGTGGATGAAGCTGTCGCACTCATTAAACTGGCGAGATTACGGGCACCCATCTCAAAGACGCAAGCACTGTTCAATGTGTGAATGCAGGTTAAGAATGCAAACATTCAGTTCAAACAAAATAATAACAAAAAAGAGATGAAATAATTGTGAGGAGGCATACGTTTACAAAAAAAACTACAGTAATGGTTATTCATTTCTTTTTTCAAGTAAATTGCCATCAGAATATCTTAAAAATATAAAAAAAATAATATAATATTTAAACATGACAAAGTGGCCTATCGCCGAAAATCTGATATTTGATGTAGCTGCCTATTAAATTATATTATATATATTTGTTATAAACTGCACAAATTCAAAGTGCTTTCATTCAGAGTAATCAATACTGAGCTACTAGGACACGTACGCCAAAAGGCACGCTTTAAACATTTCAATGATTTTTAATTAGGACAAGGAGAACTTCAAAGTTTTATTTACTCAAAATAAATGAAAAATGCGTTCCAAACTTGAATAGAGCGAAGTAACATGACGGTGAAAATGCACCAATAAATCAAGATGGAGCTGCCAGCCACCAAGTACATCCACATAAAAAAAAAACAAAAAAACTGGTCAGTAAAAACACGGACCTGAGAAAGTCCAGGCCTTACAGCTACCTGGAAATTAGGCCTATTAGCGTCAAGAAAAATCGTCGACTTTTTACTATAGAGGTTAAAATACCAAAAAATCAAGTGCTGATAATTTATGCTAAGAAGAAAATAATTTAATCAAGGCAATTCTTTTTTATTGTAAAAGTTAGCCAATCACCAATCAAAATTTACGAGTGCCTTAAAACAACCGGCCGCTGGTATGCTCATTTCGGCAGACAAGATCAACGCTCCAGTCAGATATGTTGTCGCACTCACCGGCTACATTCGTTGTTTGCGAAGTGGAGCTGCTGCGTACGTCTCAAACTTAATGGACAGTTACCAGACTCAGAAGGCTTAGATACTATCAAAGTAATAAAAATTCTCTCATCTTTATGGCTAGTATAAAAAGCACTAGCTTCAAAGTTATAGGCGTAAAATGTACATTCCTCATATGCTGCAGTAAATTTTAAAATTTGTTCATCAAGTGCATTACAAAATTGACAACGGAATTCTAAACCAGCAGCACCTGTTGTCAGAAAATGTTAAAAAATCGTTTTCTACAAGACATCGATATTGTAACACTTTCTTTGTGGCAATTTTGTAATTTTAACAAAAAAGTCCCGATTTCATAACAAAATAAAAAGATGCCAGTCAAAACTCTCGGCTCAAAATAAAAGCAAATCCTAGCAAGTTGAGAGAAAGCAGTGGCTTAAAAAACAGTTTGGCTATCTTTCACTTTTATTTATATCTTCGAAACGTGACGTGCACATTTCCTGCGTGTACAATGATGACAATGCGCGCAGAGAGCCTCATGCACAGGATGTGACACATGAGCAGCACGTTTGCTCATCGAGGTCTAAGTACATAGCACCCATTGACTTGTGCATAGGTACCAACCTATGATTAGAACGTAGTTCTTCAAGTGCTCTTATAAAATGCTATATTAGCTGCAGTGACATAATAGCACGAAAGACACGTGGACATATCATATAAATCAAAAACAATGAACAGCGAAGGCAGAGGACATCCTGGTGACTAACGACAAATAAAAATCGAATGCAAAACGTTGCAAGAGCGTCTATTCAGGCCTAAACAATAATTGTTTATGGCACAGCTTGACTATGAAAAAAAAATTAATAAAAAGATGGTTGCCGATTCAGATTAGTTCATCATAGTTCAAAAACGAGATAAAGCTATGGAGAAATATATATTCAGACTTGATATGTCTAGCACCTTATCGAACCTGGTGGAAGTCTATATAGCTATTTCAAATATCGTCAGTTTGGAAAATACGGTTACCTGTCGGAGGACCTGTTTTTAGATCTCCTGTGAACAAGCCATGAAAATTACAAGAATCGGCGACAGGCCACAACTGGCCTATTCTTCAGCGCCGACATCACTTTGATGTTTGATATGATCATCATACGGGATTATCAGGTGATGAGACACTTGCACGACACTAACTAGAATGAGGAATCGATCATTAATTTAACACTAAATTATTGGGATTATATATGATGCATCTGCCCGGATAAGATCATACGGTATATTAAGCTGGGCAGTTACTGGTTTTAGAATTCTGCACCATACGAGCATACGAGGTACAGTGACCAAATATAGGCCATTCTCGTCGCCGAAAATTCAAGCTGAATTCAGCAATGTCTGGCCGATCAGACATTGTTTATGGCAATCAAAAGCAAACTCAGTGGTTCGCTACCAATGTGCTTATTGATTCAGGAGACGCAGCACCATCGACCGGAGACGAATCCTAAAAAAGAGCACTTCAGTAACATTTTAACCTGACAGACGCATCTATTACAAGAAAATCAACGTACGTAAAACTGTGTCGTTTATTTCGGCATTAGTACGTTTATCATATCAATAGTGACAAAGAAAATATGAGTGAAATATGATCGATGTGATGCTCTATGACCAGATATGCATCCATCTACTACAGAACTGTCAGTACAAAATACAAACGATATTGTGATTTTGAATGTTGGATTTCGTAAGGACAACGTAAACAACCAACGTTATAAATTTTTTTCAAGATCATAAATGCAAACATGATGTTCATACAAAGATAGTACTTCAAAAGGGTAAGGACTTGTTCCAAATACAAGCAGTTAAAACCTTCACTGATTAACTGATGTTCAACAATATTTTGCAGTCCATGAACAAACAAGATTATAGAAATAAAATCAATTTTCAGACAATTTATAATTAGTCATTTGCACAATAAAAAAAGCGCAAGTGCCACAAATAGTTTATGTATATTACGCAAACACTAAAAATAAAAATGATAGCCGCCGCTATAAGAACGGCTAGATCATCACCATGACATCACGATTAAGTGATCCATTAGCAATAACCAACAATTCATGGTCATTACGGTACAACTCTGAGGTCGAGTTTCTCTTGCTGATGAATGTAATAAATACAGCTATTGTGTGTCGCTGATATGGCGGCACGGCTGACAATCAAATAAATTAACAAGACTCTAGAAAACCTTAACAAAAATACGGATTATTATTAAATGAGAAAAATAAAGATCAAATTATCGTTGCAATTATGGATCGAAACATAGGCTTCTCCTATTTATAGCTTATAAACGAATATTAGTTTCATCTTAAGTTACAGTAATCAATAACTTATTCGAGCCAACTAATGCATTGACAAGAAGTTACTGTAACGTGATTTCATTGCAGTTGAAAACAAGCATGCGTGCTGCCATATTGACGACACCGAACTAACTTGTTTCATCTTTGGAAATTTCAAAACTGCATTTGAAAAACGAACCTAAGCAACGCGTAACAATAGAGCACTAAAACTAACTACACACCGGGGAAACACGAGACATTTGACAAGACAATGTTTAATATTTTTATAAAAACCGTAAACTGCGCAGCAAGTCGATGACGAGACAACCAACCACACGCCTCACCTCTTGCCCTTGCAAGAACCAGCATGCGTGAGTGATTCGAGGTCGTAAGATAAGAGCTTCAAGCATCAGAGTGTGAAGGATATTTAAGAAACTAAAACAACATTAGGATTAACTACATATCTGAAAGGGTAATAATAACGGATATATTTTTAGATTATTATAAAAAAAATCGTAGTTAATAGAGCAAAGTCGTTGAATTTAAGGCATTAGAATAGTTTGCATAAATAAAAACTCTGATGAACTGCTGATGGCCAAGGTTTATCAATTATTAGATTGTCTAACCAATTAATCGAGAAACTGCTCTGAAAAAACTTTGCATAAATCAAATTTGTCTTCTTCAGTTGGCAAGTGGCATATTCAGATCATGAAATACGCTAGGATATTTCTCAGGCATGACGTTTCAGTTGCATTCGTCATGCTGCAGCCGGCAACTCAACCTTGCTAGGAGGCTCGACTTTCAAGATCAGAGAACCGTGGCGGCCGTTACACAATAACAGCTTTCCCATCTCCCGTTACGCTGAGTAACTTGCTATGCCTTCATTGCCTTGTCACTTAGGTTAACACTCGCGAATATGTTAATTCTACTTCTTTGACCTTACTATTACATTGATTCGCCGAGTATGAAAGTCGCTTTTTGGGACTTCCAGTACGAATCTAATTCCCTGTAATAATTTTTTTTAAATATGCAGATATCTACGGTGACCAAGATATTTACGGTGACCAAAGCTAGGAAGAAAGGGTTCTCACTACTCATTGACCAATTTCTAGACTAATCTAGAGTATTTATTTAACAATAACTATTATATAGTTGAAAATCGTGGAAGAAACGGTCAATAAAGAAAAGACCACACCAGCCATCCAAGTTGTTTATCGTGACAGGACGAGAACAAGAATTAATATGCGAGATAGCTAGCAGGCGCAGACGAGGTTTCCTCAGTCAAACAATTGGCATTTATTAAGCAAAAACTTGAAAATTATCTTACACGAGGTGCGATTACAGGATACGACGCAGAATTAAGGCAACCAATCACAATGGGCATGGGCCTATTTTCTTCAATACCGACACTTTATTCTAATACTATTCAACACAATGTTTGAGCGTGCACAGATATTAGGTACTAATTGGAATGTGCACGTATATAATAATATGAACTTATTAACAATACCTCGCAATTCTGGTAAATAAATATCAAGGCAGATATTATTAATTTGTATTCATTTATTTGCCGGGCAACGATATGTTCTTATTTTGTCTGGCAACGACATGTTACCCGAATTAGACTCTGGCAATGACATGTTCTTTGATGCAAATGCTGTGTGAAACCTATGCAAGTGTCGTCTCCGCGTTGGTATACTTGCAGAAATAATCGTGGAGTCCCCAAACTGGCAGTTTCACATGAAGAATCATCATATAAAGATGAAATATATTAATTAATAATAATTTAACGAAAAGATTCACACCTTAGAAGAAGAGTCCCACCTGGGAACTGCGATTTCAAAACTGAAATTGACACTCGTTGGACGCGGTCGCCGTACTTTTAAAATTTATGTGAGCTGACGGTAAAAATCGTCAGCGGCTTTCAAGTCATTAAGATATTAAAGTCACCTCAATGGCAAGAAAGGCCTGAAAATTCAAATTAATAACGCATTTTTACGAGATCGTAAATTTTCTTCAATCGCCGCCATTCACAGCCTTCTAAGAAATCTCATGATCCAAGTTAAGCCAGTGACAATTACGAAACGACGAGACTAAGAAACTTCGAATACAGCGTAAGTTTCGGTGAAATCAGACCAGTCGACAATTTGTAGCCACTGGAAGATTACAGTTCCGTAGTCTACACGGTGACTCATTGGCAAGACATCGTAACTTCCTATGATCTTTAATATGTAACCGGAGCCAAGAAACCATAACATATGTTTCGTTATACTTACCGCAGTTCTTGATTCTCACTGCCGTCGCAAGACAGAAGGCAAAAGTAAAGATGGCGAGGCACGTTAGAGACTTCATGTTGGACACCGGAGAGAACTTGTCTACACGACACAACCACTGCACCTTCTAGAATGCGCTTTCTTCGGCCGGCTGGCGGTACTTATAGGATGACCCACATGAGCAACAACGTTGTTTGATCAAGGCCGATTTCAGCAATTGAAACGTTTATCATTTGTTCTTTTGTATCAATTATTTTTTTCAGTCTTAGTCCAACACAGCTCATTTGATAGTTCCAAAAACCAGACGATTTCATACAAATGCGTTGGAAGAGTATAATGAAACAAATTTAGAAACTGAATTAGGAAGAAAACCTTTCGTGGAGAGACAATGGTAAAAACAAATAAAATTGCTGCCATGATTATTCAACAAAGATTTCACATGCAAATACAGGGTTTAAACTGCGTTAAATAATAGCTTTCATTTGGGAATATTGAATTTAAAAATTAAACTGCGAACATAGTATGTCTGATTACCATAAATTTGAAAAACACTACATACAATACGCGGCAATTGTAACTTGTGAGCGTTAGTACAGATCTCGTACGATCACAAAGTCAAGGATATTGACACTATATGTATTGATTTGCCTTTAGATTGCGGTTACTTTTTCCACTGCAACGAACAATTTGTCTACACTCAAACGTAAAGGAATGGCACGGAATCGTCAAAATTTTAACGGAATTCCAGTTATGGCACGGAATTGTTGTCAAGTACCAACGTCAATTATTTATATAATATTTATATCCGATTCAAAGTTTGGATCAGAGCGTACCCGATATTTTACCATACGTTTAAAAAAAAAATTACCTGAAGAGTTTTCAATAACTTCTAAAAATTTAAGCAAAATTCCATTGAATAAATCGATCTACTATATGACACCTTCAGAATTAACGAGCAGCAGTGTTTACATAGCTCGACATCTATGGATCAATATTAAAGGTGAATTAAAATACACAATATAGAACATTGAAATATATTGAATATTTCAGCACTTAAATCAATGTTAAACGCTAAAATTGTTCGTTTGCTCCTGACTCAACTCGCCCTTAACACCATTCAACTCTTGATAATGGCAAAAAAAAAAAATCTCACTGAAACGACCTGAATTGGTAAAATACTCCATTATTCTCGATCTCAGCATTCTTAATACTAGTAAATGGATGGCTCACTAAAATCATTTTATAAAAGCTCTCGCAACGGCGCCACCATGTATATCTTAGAAACGAACGGCAGTGATATGTTGGCTCCTGGTCGTAAACACCATCATAAGGCACTGTAAAAGCTCAATTTGATGGTTTTATGACTAACAGTAAATAACTTAGAATAACTAAAAAGAAACTTGTCCAGAGAAATTAAAATTAAACTGAAAGCACTGGTCGAAAGCTAAGAATCGAATAAAAGCCCAAACTCGTTTGCTTGCACCGATTGAGTTTAAAAAAGGTTAATGGTTCGTTTGGAATCCCCTGAAATTTACATCTCCTGATACTGTGACTGAGGTCAATTAGGAACAAAATACCTAAACAGTTTAAAAGTAATAAAATAACAAATAAATGGAAATTATTGCGACCTGTTAATATACAGCTGTTTACACTAGTCAAGATCTAAAACTTGTGAATTTCAAGATTTTGAATCGAAAACGTATAAAAAAAAGTTCTCGATTTTTGAATAAAATAGATCTGCAAGAGAAATTCATTTCAACACCTCAACGTGTGAGCAGCCTTAAAAATAATGTGTGCATCGTTTCTAAAACTAGTTCCGGTCCTCTAGAAACTAAAACTAGTGATAACCAAATTCACAGCATTACGGGAGCATAGAATGTGTTACCAAATTAAGTCGAAGTACAAGAAAGAGAGTGGGAACTTCATCTATGATCCGCACATAAGACAATCGTCTTTATTCTCTAGGGAGCAGACCATCGCAGCAACGTTGGCTTCCTTGGCAGACTCTTTCCCATTGACCTCTTTCTTCTCGCCATTGATGGCTTTGCTGAGCATGGACTTATCCACCGTGAATTGGATGGCGTTGGCTGCCGGCTTGGTTCGCAGGTAATACATCCCGGTCTTTAAGCCCTGCAGAAAATCAAAATGTAATTTAATCCCATCACAAAACAAACTTTGAAGTAATCTAGGTACTAAATAAATCAAGAAACTATTGGGCTCTAATTTAAAATAGTTTAGAACAGAAATGAATTAACAAATAAAGCAGCTTACCACAACCCATTAGACCTCTGAGTAGCCAAACAAAAAGGCATTCATATAGAAACTGCAGGTATAAAATGAAGCCTCCAATCACCCAGCGACTTACAAGTCTCCAAGCATGGAAGTGCATAGAAGTCAGTTTGCCGTAGTTGGCCTCTGCGATGTGGATGTTCAGGGACTGGCTCTGGTCGATGAAAGCACCGCGGTCGGCTGCCATCTGAAGGACGACTTTCTGGGAAATCTCCCATACGGTTTTGTACAGGGCTTTCAAATCCGCTGGAATCTTTTCTATGTTCTGTAGAGGAAATTCAAATTTAAGATAAAATAAAATAAAGAAGATTTCAAAGATTAAAATTGAATTCAATCTGTCAATAACTCGTGATTTTGCTGCAAACTATGTATATAATTTTTTCTTCTAGTCTGCATTTTTCTAGCGATAGCCATGTAAAAAAAAAATTTACGGTTCGTTTCGCTTTCCTTCCCATCATTTTTTCTGGTAAAATGATTTCATATTCTTACCAGCAAAAACCATAATAAGTTTTTCGTACTTAATAAATTCAAGAACAAATATAATAAGGGGTAGATAAATTCTATAAAATGGCAAAAATAAGAAATGAAGAGACTATCTTACTTGGATGGAACCATTGTCGGCAATCATCTGATTTTTCGTCTCGTCGTCCCAAAGTCCAAGATCAGTCAGATCGCGCAGCAGGTGATGGTTCACAACCTGCAAACACACGGTAGGAAATTGAGAAAAAACTCTACTGCATAGAAATTGCACATCTCAAAACTTACAAGGTTTATTGACCCTTTAGGTTGATAACTGATCATGATCGACAGGCTGCGGACTTCTGACAGCCAAAAATACCAAGAATTTCTCGAAGAGATGATTTCATGTGCTGTTGATTCTATAAATTGGCAAGCGTTATTAAGCCGAGCCTACGCAGATTATTATTATTACGTCGTACCTGGAATTCACCGCTGAGAACTCTGCGAGTGTAGATATTGCTCGTGTAGGCCTCAATGCTCTCATTGTTGCCGAGGATCTGAGCAGTGGAAGCAGTGGGCATGGGCGCCAGCAGGAGGCTGTTACGTACGCCGTGACGAGCGACACGAGCCTTCAGGTCAGCCCAGTCATGGAGGGGGGATGGTTTCACGCCCCACATATCGTATTGGAAGATCTACAATAAAAAATTTAAGGTAATTAATTGGGTGGGGCAGAAAATGTTAGATATTCGACTACTGGATGATATTCAAGTGGATACAAGTGCAATTAGTGGAGGAAAAAACTTTTCCGTTCCAAGACTCAAAAAAAGAGATCAAGTCTTAAATCTGTAAATCCCTGAAACTGATCTATTAGAAAAGTCGTTTTAAAAGGTGTAATTCATAATCTGATAATCGATTCAGGATTAGCGAGGGAGGCGCGAAGCTTGAACTCACTCCTTTGCTAACTGGACTGCCTTCATAAGTTTCATAGGGTCCAAGCTTCTCAGCGAGTTCGCAGCTCGCCTCCATAGCGCCATAGTACATAGTTTCAAAAATTTCCTTGTTGAGTTGTCGAGCCTGTTCACCGTCGAAGGGGTACCTGAACATCACACGCAATGAAAAATTTACATCGTTTTTTTTTTCAAGGACATGATTGGTAAAAGTAATTCTAAAGGCAAAAATATTTAAATGAATATTTATAACTCATTTAATTAACAAACTAACGGATTTATTCACTACATGGCTATTATGACCAGAGTAACGCTTACAGATAAGCAGGGATGGAAGAGCTATTATTTAGAGTTTTTCTGACCCAGGACACACTGGTAGTCACTCTACTTAAACCATGAACAATTCACCAGTAAACAAATAGACCGTTCCTACCGCGCCTGGCATCATGAAGAGGTGATTTAAATCACATCACACATCAGTGTAAACAGAACAAGATGTTTACAGTTATCTCTAAGAAGCAGCAAGATTGTAAAAATACCCAAAGGGGCTGAATAGGACGTCATGAAACAGTTAATGGCTTCAGAGTACGATTTTGAAAGTGTTGGTGACAATTATCAGAGAAAATAAGTTAATACTAGGAATGCCCTGTTCCGTCACCAGCGGACAAGCGTTGGTGGAAAATTACCCCAGCCGTTTCACGAGGCCAATTCCAATGGCGCTGTACGTGCTGAGGCATAGTAAGCCGTGTGTTGCATGACACCAAAGCCTAAACATGGATATCGATTATCATTTCGCACACACTTGCTAGCGGTGGCCAAAGAGGTGTAAATTCCCCGTCAATGGAAATCTCTTCTACCAACTGGCACGCTTGACTTGCAGTTCTGTGATAAATTCGGCATCTATAACTTCATTGATGTCTCCGATCAGTATAGCTTCAAGATTTGTCTTTGAAAGCAATGAACTCCCTCCAGTCAACTTAAACCAAGTGTTAAGAAACTGTGACTTAGACCAACTGTAAAGAAACATCTATACGATCTTGGTACCGCTTTGCACGGTGCTCCATGCTCCATCCATCCATAGATATAAAAATGCAAATCTATCGTTGAGAACTGGCTACAGTGTTCTAGATTCCATCACGTTGTTGAGATTTGGAATACGTATGTGCGTGAACAGAAATGTAATATTCGGTTTGAAAGTAGTGGCCTATGCGTCCCTGGATGCGTCTCTACACAAGCAGCTAGATATGAAGTCAGCACACCTCATGAGGATGAAGGCATCGGCAAGTCCCTGAACGCCAATGCCGATGGGTCGGTGGCGCATATTGGACCTGCGTGCCTCTTCCACAGGGTAGTAGTTGACGTCTATGATTTTGTTAAGGTTGAATGTGGCCACCTGAATACAAAAAAGTCAATTCTAAGCACGATAATGAAATTTCCTTAGATTTCTAAGCAACTCGCCAACATTGCTGTTTATAGGTGAGCTGTTTGTAAAATGCATTTATAAGATACTTACCCATTATACATTTTGCAATGAAAGGAAAATCTAGGAATGTACAAGTTTGCTGACCGGATTGTATAGAGTAAAATTATTCTGAGTGTCTTCAATAAACCATGATCACGAAGTAGTGAAATAATTAGTTACAAAGAACATACCTTAGTGACGTACTTGAGCTTCTCGAAGTCGTAAGTTCTGTCAGGTCTAACGAACATGTTCACGGCGATAGAAGCCAAGTTGCACACTGCTATCTGAACACCAAAAAAGATGCGAAAAATTAATGCAAGAACTAAGAAATTAAAACGTAATATTTATTAAAATAAAACCCATAATGCACATGAAAAAAACTAAAATTATTAACCCTTATTTCACCGAGAATGACCATATGTTGTGAGCTTGAATATGTGAGAAATATATATATAACATAATAATAATAATATATATTTTTTTATTTATAAAATATTCTATCAACTCTTGTTCAATCAGATAATTAGCATGAAATCCAGCTTCAAGGTTTCAAAAGAATTCATTTAAATCCGTAAAATGAGCAAAAATACACGAGCTGACCTCGTCAAGAGAAGAGTACTGGACGATCTCCGTGCACAGGTTTGAGCACTTGATGGTGCCGAGGTTTTGCTGGTTACTCTTGCGGTTGCAGGCGTCTTTGTAGAGCATGTACGGCGTGCCTGTCTCGACCTGAGGCAGAGTGTTCATTCGTGAGTGCGTTTGGAATTTAAATTACCTTAAATAAATTATTATATTTTAAAAAATAAATTTTAATATATATTAATATCTTTAACCTTGCGCTTAGTTTGGTTGGCAGTCAGGCAACGAGCACTCTACTCTCCCTTCAACTAAGAGTGTGAACAGTCATTTTGAACAAGTTCATTCTTAATAATGATTTTATTTTATCAGGCATAGCTGACTTCAGAGAACAGGTTCCGGTAGCTGGTGAGAGATGCTCGTGAGTGAGACAACAGCTCAGTGTAAATTAAAAATATTCTTCATGTTAACCACAAGTCAAATTAATGAAGTTATCAATAAACATACAATGCCTCACCTGAGACTCGATGATTGCGTACCAGACAGACTGGGCGCTCACTTGCTGCTTGTACCTTCCTTCTTTTTCGTACTTTAGGTACAGTTTCTCAAATTCTTCACCTGTATCAAAATTATTTAATATATTGATTGCTCGCGATGAAAAATTCTCATCTATGTCATTGTCAGTTCAACACAACTTTACATCAGGAAAACTTTGCATGTGGCATATCTACTTGGTTGATGAGGCTCACAAAAATTCATTCAATTAAAATAATGTTGCGAATTTTGCATTGTGCAAACAATTAAAACTTAAACACAAAAATTAGAAAGAGCATCCAATAACATAAATAAAAAAATGGAGAAAAGCTGTCAAATAATAGGGAATAACTTACCCCAAGTATCAGCCAGTCCAGGACAGTCATTGGGACACATGAGACTCCAGTGCGTGTTGTCAGCGACACGCTGCATGAACAGGTCAGGGATCCACAGGGCATAGAAGAGATCACGTGCCCGTTCTTCATCCTTCAGAAATAAAATATCAAATCTATGACAAGTTTGCATTCGTGACCATTACTTTTTGTAAGTGAAGTTTTTTGTTTGCCAATTCAGGCTATTGTGGATTTATGGTTCATATTATAACTCCTGATTCAAGTCCTGATGGAATACCCACAAATCCCAGAAACTGGAGCACAGCTCACATAGGACACTTTAGGAAAATCAATGAAGCCAAGCAATTGCTTCCCAAAAAATTGTAATGTACGTTACGTGGTCATAATGGTAAAATGGAACAAGATTAAACAAATGTGATTTCTCTTCCAAGTTCCATTATATTATGAACTGATGCTACTCTGAAGGTAAAAAATGTGATTACCATGCCAGTGTTCTTTCGAAGGTTGAGGAAAGCAAAAATATCGGCGTGCCAAGGCTCCAGGTAGATAGCAAAGGCACCGGGACGCTTGTTGCCGCCCTGGTCTACGTAGCGCGCTGCACATATCAATATGTTTTCATCAGGTCATGAATAATGACAATACAAATCTGGGATACGAGTTGTACGTGCCTAGTCTAATAACATGACTTATCATCGTTTTGAATCAATAAGATACCTGCTAATTATTACATTTGACCGAGATAAAAAATTGTGAATAACCAATTGGCAACAGATAGTAATACTCGTAGTTAGTTACTCAATAAATTATTTTAAGCAAATGGGTTAAGCTAGACTCTTTCATTAGCAAAATCAGTCAAATATTTTGAATAAAACAATATTTGCAAACCTGTATTGTTAAAAACTCTAAGCATTGGAACTAATCCATTGCTGACGCCGTTTGTTCCAGCAATGTAGGAGCCCTTGGCTCGGATACAGTGGACGTTAACGCCAATGCCGCCAGCAGACTTAGAGATCAGAGCGCACTGCTTCAATGTGTCATAGATACCCTCGATGCTGTCATCCCTCATGGTCAACAGGAAACAACTGATGAAGAAAAGTTATACTGCTGAAATCACATAAAATAACAGTAATTCAAATGATTTTGATAATCCATATTATTCAATTGAGTTACTAATATGTAGTAGCTTTATGGATAATGTTCATACTCCACCATGTACATAAGGCATACCTAGAGAGTTGCGGTCTGGTGGTTGCTGCATTGAACAGTGTCGGGGAAGCGTGGGTGAACCATTTTTCTGACAACAAATTATAAGTCTCAATGGCGGCGTTGATATCTTCGCCGTGTATGCCAACAGCCACGCGCATCAACATTTGCTGTGGACGCTCCACAACCTTGCCGTCTATGCGAAGGAGGTACGATCGCTCCAGAGTCTATTAGAACAGAAGTGTAAATTTCAGGAAAGTTCTAAGCTTTACAAATTTTGCTAATATTTTTGCAGATGCTTTTGTAAAATGAGTTTGCTTTTGAATAATACAAGCGGGAATATACAACAATGTAAATAATTTTGCTGGTACATACTAAACATCTGCATTTGGTTTGCATTCAAGACTATAAGTTCAGTCCTGATACGCGATCAAAATCTGTACAATTTGCAACCTCAATGGAAATTCGGGATGATACCGAGTCAGAACGTTCTGGCAAAATAGAAGGTTGATGAAATTACCAAAAATGGTAATGTCATATGATATTGCCAAAAATGTATTAGCCTAAGAAATACTTTTTTTGGGGATATTCACCTTAAAGCCAAAGTAGTTGTAGGAGAAATCACGATCATAAATGATGGCAGAGTTCAGCACCTCAGCATTCTTCATGATAATACCGTGATGATATTCAGAGATCATAGGTTGAGGACGACCAGTCTGTTTATTGGTCATCTGGCGGAGGTCGTCCATCACCTCTGTTAAACAAACAAATAAAATGGCATGAAGATGGCCGACATGAATCTACGGCCAGGCCATGAATCTAGATGGACAAGAATCGATCAAGCACCTCAGTAGCTGTTCTGACCCCTCGGTCGTTACAGTCTTGTGAATCAACAGTATATTCATCAGACTGTTGCTGTAGGAATAATAACTTAGAAAAAAATGAATAAAAACGACACCAGTGATTTAGGTGATAAAGAAGCACCACCTGGCTTCAATTGATGAATAAAAGAGTAAACTACTGAATGCGATTCTATAGAACATCTTTAAACAAGATTAAAAATTTTTGAGTGAATTAATACTCTCCTCCTACCATAACAGGACATCTAAATTACATAGTTTATTGACTCATTAATTGCAAATTTCCTAGTACTCACCACTGAAGGTTTTCTTTGTCTCCTTATGGAGGTTTGAGACAGCAATCCTGGCAGCAAGCACAGCATAGTCCGGATGCTTTGTGGTGAGGGTGGCAGCAATCTCAGCTGCCAGATTGTCCAGCTCGATGGTTGTCACCCCAGCATACAAACCATTGATGACCTTCAGTGTGATTGATGGCTGTAAACAATAACATGGATCAACTCGTGTAGAAAAAATTTATTATTGTGAAAAATTAAATAAATAAAAATATAAAATAAGGTTATACCTGGGACCAGAGATAATTGCTTCCAAGTAAATTTTACTGTATAACAAAAAGTAAAAGAAATACAATGCAGATGTTCTAAGTCATCAACCAACATCTTAATTCATTGCAGAAATCAAATTTCAGAAAAACGGCCAAAAATATTACACATTTATTGAAAAATAGGACATCATATTTACAGAAAGAAAAAGTTTTTGTGGGATCAGTCTTCACAATGTAAGATTAAGAACCAATTCAAAAAAAAAACAAATCTTCAAGGTTTTACTTGCAGAGCAATCTAGCTTTCACTATGATTTATTCTAATCTTTCTGCAAAAGTACACAAAAATAGTGGCTAAGCACATGCAGGAAGATGCACCATGGGCATTAGAATTGACTGGTTAAAATTCATGAATGTGTGGCTGTGAAGACTCTGCATTATAGAAAAAAAATCTTAAAATATGCAGTTTTCTCAACTGATATGGAATATTGGAGAGACTTTTCAAAAAATTTTCAGTTCAAATTATTTCAGAGGTATGTTTTTTAAACTTTTTGTGAAAATGTGCTACTTTTTATGATGAAATTAAAAAAAAGCCTTGGGCAAAAGCAGTTTATGCTCTCTCTCATTTTTGTCTTCTGTCTGCTTTTCCATTTTGCTTCCAGACCTTAGGGAGCAAAAAGTGACTTTCTGACTATTCTTTCATTTTCTGAGCTGCTCCAATAAGCTTTTCAATATATTAGGGATGATAATGGTAGTATCCATGATACTGGTGTTCATAGAATCCTAAGTTTCTCCGAAGTAAAGGCAAATAATATATATACACGTCTTCATCTCAAAACTCTGCACTTTGCAGACAATAGAATTGAATAATGCCAATTTTGGTATAAATTTAAAACTTTTATCACATGTTTATCTTCCAAACATGGTGTTTGAAAGACTGGCAAAAATAAGCAAGTTCTACTTACAGGATCAATGAAGTCCATATTAAGTCCATAACAGAGCTTCTGAATGCGTGAAGTTATTTTGTCAAACATTACTGGCTCCCTTCGTCCATCTGAGGAGAAAAATTTATTGTCAATAACAATATCATTTGTTTTGGCTGGCATTTACAGTCCCCAATTATTTTTTAAGCTTTGGATGTAGACCAACTAATTTTAAGAAATAAAAATACAACAGACACTGGCTTCACACAGTCAAGGAAATATTTAAAATTACAATTGAAATATTTTATTTCAATTGTAATTGGTGGATAATATGAATTTTACTAAATATTAGACTTGACCCTGCAATATTTCAGCTGGATGAAGTGTCTCTTAAGTCCTATCTGATCTTATACATATTTGAAAAGGTTTTTTTTTTCAAGCCTGGCATTGCAAATGTTTACCTACCTAGCATAAGGGAAGTTCAAAAATGTATCCATAATACCTACTTCCTACAATGTCAGGATATTATGTAGACACCTGTCTTGAAATTTGTTTTTAGTAGCATGGAGAATAACAAGATATTTCACAATGGGAAGAAGATGATTAGGCTGAAAATAGAACTTTATTCTTGATATCTGTAATAACTTAGTCATCATTAAAGCCTCCCCAACCAATTGTAGTTATAAACAGTGAACACAGTGACCAGTATTATGCTGTTTTTAGCAACGCCAACAAGCAGCAAGCGCAAGGTGTCAGCCTGTCATGTATGTGCGGTTTCTGCCGCGCGGCAACTTTCTGGTGTTGATAAAATGATAAGCAAGATGAGCTTTAAAATGTTTTTATTTATCATAGCTACATGAATTAAATTCTGATGAAAAGTTCGTTAATCACAAAATTGCAAAAACTACATGCAATGACAGGGCATACTGGGCCTTACTGGCTAGTGGCTTGCCTGTTCATTTAGCTGTTAACACAAACTGTACAAGTGAGTCATGATGTATAGCCAATACCTATATATTTCATGATGAATTTTCAAAAATATATATTTGTATGAGAATGGATTAAATATTGTTAAGTAATACAATTATTATTTTAAAAATAATTGAAATTAAGCCTATAGGCTAGGCTAAGTAAGATAGTGTTAGGTATATCAACAATTTTCAACATATTGTTTCATCAAAAGAATACTTCCATTATCCATAGTTCCATTGAAGTTCCATATAATTTTAATAATGCACCTAGAATCTAATTTTCTTACTAAAAAGTTACATTCAACTTAGCTAGGCTATATGCATCTGATAGGCTACCTAGGTTAAACAAATTGATAATCATAACTTCCATAAATAAGCTGGTAGGCCTACATGCTAAAGATCTGCATTTAGTTTGCATTCAAGACTATTAGTGTTGTTTTAATAATATCGTCAGTCAATTAATGTATTGTAATCGTACCTAGATAAATAATACTGAAAATATAGTCTTCATGAATCAGGCTAGGCTAATTCAGTAGGTAATTAGGTACGCTAACAAGACTAATGGATGTAGGGACGACACAAGATTGCCCTCTTTCACCGTTATCATTTTTTTTGCTTACCTCTTTTAAGCACATACATCTTCGACCACATTTTGCCGTTATCTTTCACCATCTTTACGAAAAACGAAGCAGTGCTCCTCTCAACGTTATGAAAACCCGCGCTTAACTTTCGACAACGGCTGGGCTAATTCTAGATTGAAGTTTGAAGTCAACCAGAATCGCGCGGGAAGCCGGGAACCAAATTTGGTGGGATGTACACAAGTTTATCAGGTTTGCCACGAAAATTTTCACTGAAAATTATAAAAAAATTAAATCATGTGTTGTCATATATTCTCATATATGGTTGAATCATATACTTTTGTCAACTTTGTCCCGAGTTACATTGACTGGTAATAAGTTCGAGCTGGATGAACATATTTATGCTGTGGGAAATTTTATTGCATTTATTGACGTACACATATTCTTTAGGACCTAACGGTGATGTCTAGCTCGTGAAATTTTTTAGAATTTCACCTTCATTCGTGAGTTCGGCGGTACGTGCCGAATCCGCAGTGAACACGACATTATTTCTTCTTATTAAATCAAAGTTTCTGGGAGCCTCTGAAGACTAGTTCAATGCGGCCCCATGACAGGACGGTTTAAGGAAATTACGGTATTTTATTTTCAGCTACAGATTTAGGTGTTCTGAAAAGTTGTCAATCTTTCTTGACGGCTGAATGACTACAGAATGGGGCCGCCAAATTAAGTGGAGACCACACCGGGGTGGCGAATCCCACGCCAGGGCAGAGAGTCCCACTCCAGGGCAGAGTCCCACACAGGGCAGAGAGTCCCATTCCAAGGCAGAGAGTCCCACTCCAAACATGACATTTCTTCCAGAGTACTGAACAAATTTGAACGAAATTTTGCATATACATTCCTAACTATCCGACGGTGATGTTTAGCAAGTGAATTTTTTTTAATATGGCCTTCCTTAGCGAGTTTTTTTCCTCATTCGTGATTTAAACAAAAAACGTGCTTAAATTCGCAGTGAATAAGAAATTTCTTCTAAAATACCTAACAGATTTGAATGAAACTTTGAATATGAATACCTCACTTCCTAACGGTAATGTTTAATTAACTCATGACAAATTTTTTCGATTTTGCCTTTGTTTGCGAGTTATGTGGCTTTACGTTTATGGCTCATGGTCAATGCAAATTTGAAAATCGGCCTGAGAAATGCCGGTCGTTGCTCCGTATATCCGTATAATTGCGAACGATGGCAAAATCGAAAACGTTGTCACGAGCTAAACATCACCGTTGGGAGGTTAGGTATTTTTTATACAAAGTTTTATTCAAATCTTTTAAGTAGTTCTTGTTCACTGTGAATTTAATGAGCACGCACTGCTGTAAATCATAAAAGAGGGTGAAATAATAAAAAAAGACTAGAGAACAAAGGCAAAATCTAAAAAAATCACGAGCTAAACATCACCGTTGGTTAGTTAAGAATGTATATTCAAAATTTCTTTCAAATTTGTTCAGTACTTTAGACGAATAGACTTGTTCACTGCGAATTTCGGCACGCATCGCCATATAACTCACGAATGAAGGCGAAATTCAAAAAAATTTCACGAGCTAAACATCACCGTTATGTCCCAATAAATACGTGAACCAAGTTTCATCGAGCTACGTTCATTACTTTGGAAGATATTATTTGTTCCCTGAATTTGGGGTTTGGCCGTGAGGCTGGCCGCAAGTCCGGCCGTAAATTTGCCCGAGATGTCATATTTCTTCGCAATGGCGATTGCGAAGGCCTTTGGTAAGGCAATTTTAAATCCGCATAGATATTTATAGACATGTTTTCTCTAATAAGACCTCGAAAGAGATCCATCGAACTAACTTCCTAAATGATAATTTAACAAGATAACTGAATCGATGTATTTTTCTTTTGAAACTTTTCCCTTCTACCATTAGATACTATGTACGAGCTATCGTCCACGAGACGCTACATTTCAACCTTACGGTATATGGTTACAAAAATAATTATTCATGTGCCATCGGGCGCTGATTGCTGAAAAGTTAAACTGCCCGATGAGCGGACATCGCTCAGCGATGACATAGGACGGGTCGCCAGCCGAAGACCACCACTGCCCTGGATGTAATGGACCATCATGATTCCTGCCTTCCGGAACGTAGCCTTCAACACTTCAAGCCGTCCGTATCTAGGCCGTGGGTCGAACCAGCCCTCGGTCGAACGGCCCCTTGTCGAAGGACGATAAAATTTGGAACAGAACTATGCTATCTGAAACCTAACCTCAGATGCGGTGAACGTAAAATTACGTAATTTAACGATGCCCGGAAGTCATATTCGATCCGCGGCCTGGTGGTGCACGGCAGGTGGTGGTCAAGGCCGGAAGAGGACAAAGCCGAGTGGTGCACGGCTGATTGGTGTAGGTCCGGAGAGATCCAAGGCGTTCGATTCAGGGCTTATTGGTGCATAAAATTGGTGGTGCACGGCTGCGCTCCCACATAGGACGCTTGACTAGATCGCAGCACTAGAACAGACGAACTCCTGATGCCACCATCAACACCATCCGAGCTGGACGCAAATTTGTGGCCACTTGTAGAATGACTGGAAATTTGGTTGTTACAAATTGATTGATAAAGGTTCTCTTACATTTCACAAATTATCTATGGGTAGCAAACCCAGGGTGAGCTGCTAATAATTTTAAATGCTGCTTCATCTTGACATATTGGTGTCACATTAAAATTCGTTTTGTCTCACTCCTCGTTATTTTATTATATGGCATTCCCTCTTTCATCATTTGAACCATAATGGAGGCGATATAATTCATAATATTAGCCATCTACTATTTGATTACCGTTATAAAGAGTAGAAAGGATCGACTATCTCGATTTTCCTTTATAAGAACTAAGACTCAAATACCAGAGGTTATATCTTCACGCATATAACTTCGTTGTCATAAACCTTCATGTCCATGACGACATCTCTTGTGCAAAGGGATGCCAGTTGCACTGTTAGCGATTATGTTTTGTTACCGACTTATCGTTTCTGCTGAAAATAAAAGTTATTACAAATGAGAATTGTGAAAATCGTTATATCACGTGCAAGAGGAAGTATCGTCGCATTTTTGTCGGAGTAAATTCGGCCAAAATTTCCGCTTCCTACGCGGAGGTGAATGCTGCACTAGTCAGGTTTGACGTGGCAGGTCATAGAGAGCTACACAACGACTTCTCTTTCATGGGAATTTCAACAACTCAAGTTTAGTATTATACTACATAACTGAATCAATCAAAATCTGTGTCAAGGTGTGTGATAAATTACCTGCCTAAATATCTCTTATCATGTTGAGCTTGCAAAGTGAAAATCTTCAATTTTGCTTCCAAACGAGATGGGCGATTACTGTCCAAAAATACCCTATTGGAAGATATGCTCAAAAAATGCTACAATGTTTGTTATGTATTGTCTTTATATTCTTTCTGGCTGAGTCTGCCTACGAAAAGTACAGCGTGGAAGAAGGTTTCGAGCTTAATGGAGGACATTCGATAATCGAGTACATTTCTTCATCCAGCTGGTGAGTGCAGTTTGCTCTACAACTAAATTAATGTCCGAGGGTTAAACTATTTCGGGTCCTGAGAAGAACCCAAAAAATCGAGAACCTGACACTAGCAGTGAGTGGTGGTTGAGTACCTTTGACGCAAATTTTTTCTTATTCTTTTGAGAATTATAAGCGTTGTAAGCGCGACTGCCATGCCTGCCGCTCTTACTTCAGCGCCGACCCAACAAACGAAACTTTATGAGTTTATCCGTGCAGGGAAGTGAACTTGAGATTTTTAGCTATTTATTGATACAAAGGCTTGATGAGAACACAAATAAGCTCAAAATAAACACAATATAAACCTAAAGTGAAACTAGAGTGAACTCGGAACAAACCCAGGGGATGGCTCGTACTGAAGCTAACTAATCGTGAAAACCGAGTTAGGTTCTGTAAACAAAGAATAACAAATAAACTTAAGATATGGCTTTAATACTTAACTTGAAATATTCCTAAGAAAATAATTACAATTCACAAATATTGCAGCACAAATTTAAATCTCACAATATAACTATTCACAAATATCACTCACAAATTTACATGTCACAATATAACCACTTTTCACGAAAATTCACTAACAGTGAAGCGCAAAGTGCTTCATGACTAACAGAATGAAAGTGACCGTGTCGAATGATCGAGAGCGCAGCCGTGCACCACCAATTTTGCGCACCAATAAGCCTTGAATCGAACGCTTTGGATCTCTCCGGACCTACACCAATCAGCCGTGCACCCCTCGGCTTTGTCCTCTTCCGGCCTTGGCCACCAACTGCCGTGCGGCGTGCACCACCAGGCCGCGGATCGAATATGACTTCCAGGCATCGTTGAATTACGTAACTTTACGTTCACCGCATCTGAGGTTAGGTTTCAGATAACATAGTTCTGTTCCAAAATTTATCGTCCTTCGACAAGTGGCCGTTCGACCGAGGGCCGGTTCGACCCACGGCCTAGATACGGACGGCTTAAACTGCTGAAGGCTACGTTCCGGAGGCAGGAATCATGATGGTCCTTTACATCCAGGGCAGTGGTGGTCTTCGGCAGGCGACCCGAATGATCAGGGTGAACAAACTTTTTCTCTAAATGAAAATGCTAGTTAGGATCGAAATGCAAAAACATTAATGGAAAAAATGGATACAAATTTAGCACAAAAATATAATAAATAATTGTTTGCATGATCGCAAAAAAATTAAAAGGAAAATCGCGGTACAAAAATTAGAGGCGCATGAGGCGCGGCTATAGCATTACAAAATTTTTTTAATGTTCCAAAAATTATAGCGAAATGTTCAGTAAAAACACTGGCGATAGCTGAGCTTTCCTTGTCAACCTGATGACCGACTAGAGATGTTTTGTCTGGCCGCTTTTTGATCGCTGAGATGATGAGGGATGAGTTTAGATATTGTTTTTATAGCAATTTTTACGACTAGGTAGATGTTCTCTCGTTTGCTTATCTTAATATAATATTCGAGCAGGTCTCTGTATCAAAATAAGCAACCTACGACACAGGAGATCGAAGACTTCTTGTTGCAGTTCACTACTGGCTCGCCGAGAACGTACTTCTGCAAGAAGCTCGTCTCAATACGCCATTCATGCGCATCACCGGCGCTGAGGGTGAGCATTTCCTAAGTTCACAGCTAGACAGTGCAAACTGACGGTATAACAATAGACTTTTCTGTCATATCATACTGCGTCGTGTCTATTATGATGCCTTTTTCATGTCACAAATAATATTATTTTATTATCAACCTGCTCTGGATAAGCAGACGTTCTTGTAATTTATTCAGAAGTCGAGTAGCTGCAAGGTATCCATGCCGCACTGCATTTAAATCCGGGCATTGTAAAATCATAAGAAACGGCGTCCCCGTAGAGACTTGTACACAAGGCGACTAGTTGCGTCGACTCGATTAGTCGACTCGATTAGTCGACTCAAGACTCAACTAGTTGGAGTCACCGGGTGCTCCGCATGCCTGATTCACCGAACGTCGAATTGACTTTCTAATTGAAATGAAATGATGATCCGTTATGAAATAAAGTATTTGAATTCGATTTGAATCTTTATTAATTTGATTAGAAAAACGATTTTGGTTGGGAATAGAGAGTCTTTGTATTCAGACTACGGACAAAATTGTTACGAAATGTGCCAACTTATTGCGGCAGCGTTATTTATTTTACGTGGTTGCATAGATCAAAGGATTGTTGGCAACATTCCAAGAAGCTTCACCGCGACGGAAAGTTGAAGAGGAACTAATTGCGCGGAATAACCGTGTTCTAGCAGTTATTAATATTGTATAACTCACATCATTAATAATTATTTGACCGTCTGCAGGCATGTATGGATCCGTGGTTGTTGCCGCCTCGTGAACGCGGCTGCTCAGTGGCATCCGTGAAGTCAGATGAGGTGCAGCTTGGTCTGCTGAAGCGTCTCGCTGCTCACCTCAACTGTAGCTTCAACATCACTCAACCTTCCCCAGAAGCGAATGAAGTTGGGGTAATTTGTTAATAAAGATATCTAACGTCAAATCACACAGAAAGATTATTAATAAGAAAAATTGTATTTGCATTTATAGTTTTCATTAACAACGAAAATATGAAGACCCGATAATAATATGAATAGTTTTCATTACCAACGATATTTAGTATGACCACGAATGAATTCGTTCGTTGATAAGGGAGAGGTAATATTTTGTTCTTCTCGCGCCAATATGATACAAAATTAGCAGTTTTATAAACTAATATTCAGGTATCAATGTTTTGTTGCCGTCGTGAATTTTCAGATGACGAATATATTATTTTTCCTTCACAGTTAAACTCTACCAACAAAGTTCCCGAAATCGCAAGCTCTGCAAATGCTCCCGTTTTTTGGCTTGAAAGTCCCGTGGTTTCGTCGATAAAAGTGAGTTGATCAAGGAAAACTTCTAACTTATTCTCGTATTTACGTTTGCTTCGACGTGTTGAAGGTAAAATTTGCGTGCAATAGTAGCAGTTTACTTTCTTTCTACTTATAAATAGTTTGATATACATTTTCAGCAATTTTTATTAGCTCAAATATCAGCAATGATGATTACCATCGGTGTAGTACAGCATTCAAGAAGGTGATTCGTTGATAGATCTACGAAGTCTGGTCCCAGTTCCCCGTGTGTCATTGGGAGTAAGAAGTTCTGCGTAATCCATTCCGAAATCGTACATTTGTATCGTCTTCGTTCAACAGGAACAGACGAGGTTATTGCGAACAGCACGACTGGAAAACGTGAGCCAGCTACGCTTGAGGTACAGCAATGCCTCGCTTCAAGTCACGGAGGTCAAACGCAAGGTAAAATTATGCTTCTCCTTATTTTAAGTACCTCCAAGTAGCAACTTACCGCTCATTATTAAAAAAAAACTTATTTTTAAAGGCAACGAAATATTTTTGAATGGTACGTGGTCACCGTAAACTTTACTACGATACGTTGTAGAGGATACGGATTATATAGATTCTATTGCATATTTGTAGGTACACCGCGCGCTAAATAACGTAAAAATGATCGCACGTAATCGTAACTTCGTAAGTGAATGCACTCAGAATATTTTTCCCTGAGTTCCACATATAGTTAACACCGAGAGAAGGTTAGAAACTCAAATGATAGTAGATGATAGGTTATCGACGTTGTAGACGATTGAGACCCCGTATATTTGAAAACTAATTGATCACTTTCTTGGACAAAGAATTAAAACTAATCATACTAAAGCAGTTTCCATTCTTTGGTCCCTTGCATAAGCCCTTTAGCGAAAAAACGGCGATCACGAGCCATTTCAAACAGGCAATGTTAGAAATACTTGACGTGAACGTATAAAGTTCACAATATCCAAAACATGGCACGCAGATATAAACCAAACTCGTGACCAAAATCGAATAGAATTCATTTTCTCGGGCAGACCTTCGTTAAATCTTAAGAGTTTACAACATTAACTTTTTTTCTCATTAAATACAACTGAATAAAAAAAATTATTTCCTTCTCAGTTATTCAAGAGCTTGCACGAGGCGGGGTTTGCAGTCGTCGAGATGAACCAACAGATGGCGCCTGAGGCGGAGACAGATGAACAGTCGCTTTTTGTCAACACTGCTCTGCGCAACATCGCCGCTGTTCTCACGGACAAACACAGGCCGCCTCGTAAAACCGCCACACGAAATTCATAGTCACATTTGACGCTCTGCAATCATTGAAAAGATGCGGAATTCTAGTTTCATTATCGGCTTTTATGTTCAGAAATGAATTGTATTTCACTACACCTCGTTAGGATATGAATAATGGTTATTTATTATCTTGTTCCTTGTCCGTAAATCGATCAGAAATTTCGCAGAATTTCATGATTAAACATTTATAACAGCCGCATATAATTATGACATGAGCAGAATGGATTGACGGAAGAAATATTTTTTAAAGTTTCTGCTCATCCAATAATGATCAGGTTAATCAGGAGATCAGCGCTAAGAAAAGCCTTTACTTGACATATGGAAATTTACATTATTTTATAAGAAACATACGGTGAGAATACTAAAAGCATACTGAAATCATCATAGCCATTTGTCGATAAAAGCTAGTCAGAGTCCTGTCTACCATGCGACTTTAGAGACGTACTACAGTTTTAATGAAACTGTATTCCATATCATAATCCATTATCACAACATGGGAAGAATGATGCCAATTCATTCTTATTAGAATTAAATAAGAATAATGGTCATTGTCATGTCAGAGATGCACAGTGTGCGCGTTTACTCATACTCAAACATTGGAGAATATAGCAAACATTAGGACGATCTCGTGAGACCTTCAAGATCAAATACAGCAATACATACGTAAAGAGCCAGAAACTCGCTAGTCTCTGTTCTACATTCTGAAATAAATACTCCAGTAACATACTGCGTACATTGCACAAAAAATAATTCGTGCAAGAATGACGTAAAAAAATTCGTGCTCGGCCATAACGTCAGAAATTTTTTCAAAGAGCTACAGTTGCACATCACCAAAATACACGGGATAACGAATAACCAGCTCGCGGGCGAGACAGGCAACGTAGGCATTCCAGAAGAACGAACAGAAATACAACAATGAGGGTTCGCACAAGACGTCGCATCCATGAGACAGAGGAAAGTGCGAGGAAGACCTTGCAGTGAAATTTGAAGAAGTTGCGCACAAAATTAATAATGCTCATTCACAATAAGGGACAAAATATCAAGTAAAATACGTCAGCAAAATTCAGACGTTCACTACCACCAAGTGAGAATCGGGCCATTCATATCAGACAAGAATGATGTCCACGGAATAGAATTGTGAGCATTATCAATTTATTGTCCGAAGGAATTTAATTTCATAGAAGGAACCATCGCAATCTCTACCTATTACAATGGTTCAGATAAATATTTCATGGTTGTACTGCAATCATTTCTTTGAAATGCTTTTTGAGGCAAAATTCGTCGAAACTACGAGTGATAAAGAAAGTTTACTGCAGGGTTTATGCATAACTTGTGGAAAGAAAATTGTTATTGCCAAATTAGTAGGGAATCAAGATCTGATTCTGGGAAGTCAAAGGAGAAAAGATTTAGGTAGAGACAGGGATTCATTGTAAAACTAAAACAATCTTAACAATATTAATGCCACTGAGCATAATAATAAAAATAACTGCGATTTCGTAAATTAGTGAGTCACAGTAAAATCGCCCCTCAACTAAACAATCACCGTTAGTTTCCATTTTTGATAGGTAACAAGTTGCATTTAAGCTCATCTCTCTACACGAAATACTCAAATTAATTGGAAAGAAGCAGAAGTAGAGAAAACTGTCAAATCAAAATGTGAGCATGAAAACGTTCAAATCAAACGTGAGCATGAAAAACACGCGCTTGTTCTTAACAAAATAAATTCAATGGATACACAGAGGCTGCACCGACTAAAGAAAAAATAGTTCAGAGAATGGCACATTCTACTTCAACATATTTGTCCTCTCATACACAACAAATGAATGAGATGTAGATTATTTAATTGACAAACGAGATTTGACCTAGCGCTGTCCGTTCCTAATATGTACAAAAAGTAAAATTACATAAAATTCCACGTAAAGATCTCACCGTTTTAGAGTATCTCGTTGACACAAAAACCTAATGAAAACTAACACCTCATCATCAAAGAAAACAAAAAAGATTTTCAATAGCGATCAGCGGAAGAAATTAATACTTCCTGAGTTATGATTGATAATCATAATTTCGGGCAAGACAGAGATAGAAGAATTTGATTACCATCTTCCTCTGCCACGTCCCCGTCTATCCCAGTCTGCTCTGCCACGGCCACGCCAATGTTTTGGTCCTTCCCACTCTCGATGGCCTCGCCTATAATCGAACTCCTCGTGGTCATGAGGTCCCCTTTCATCGAGGTACCGCCGGTCCCTCTCATCGGGATAGCCACGATAATCGTCGTACGGTAAGCCTCTGAATCGGTGGTCGTCTCGTGGCATGTGACGGAAACCAGGGTTACGGGGGCTGCCGTACTCATAATCTTCAGGTGGAGGCTGGAAATGAGCTCTGTAGTGCTCGTCGCCTTCTCGGTAGGGAGGAGGATGTCCCGGCATGTGAGGTGGAGGGCCGAAAGGACGAGGAGGGCGGCCGGCAACTGGAATAGGAGGACCAATAGGAACTGGGTGAGGGGAAGGAGGGTATTCGTGGCTTCCCCCACGCGGCGGTACAATAGGGCGAGGAGGAAGACCTGCTGGACTTTGAGGAGGAGGATAACCGTGAGTAACCGAAGAGGGGGAGGGAGGCACGGCATGAGCATCCATATAATGGTGAGAGGGAGGACGTAAAGCTGGTGTAGAGTCAGCACGGCTATCGATGGTTGGTGGGGGTTGTGAGAGTTGAGGATGAGGCGGCCCAAGTTCTACAGAAGGAGGTGGACCACGGGAGCTGAAACTATGAGGTAGATGAGCTGAGGAGGCTCCTGAGGGTGGATGCACAGAGCTCCCGAGTGCATTCGTAGGTGGTACCTGAATGGCGCTCCCTACATGAGGGAGAGATGACGTGACGGCAACAGGCGACTGGTAAGCTGAGGGAAGAGGTGCGGTGGTCACATCAACTCGCCCTTCAATAGGCAATCCAGGAATTGATGCAAAACTAGGCGGTTGCAAAAGCATGCGTCGCATGTCAGTGTCGCCTCCAATAACACTCTGAGCTTCATTCTTTCGACGCACTATTTCGTCTTGTTTCTGTTTAATTTCTTCTTCTTTACGCTTGATACCTTCTAAAATCATGTGCAGGTTGTCTGGAATGTTGATTTTAGAAGTGTCTAGTTTGACTGGATCCTTTTTCTTGTTTTTATCAGAATCGTTTTTGTCATGCTCGTCAAGGACTGTTTCTTTTCGAGAAGCAGCAATGACAACTTTGTCTTTTTGACTGATGCTCTCGTGCATAGCGCTCAGTTCCTTCTTGTGTTGTTCGATTTGCCGATTGAGCTCTGCGAGCATAGATTCTTGTTCTTTTGAGCGTTCTGTCTTGGCCTTTTTACTGCCAGAACTTTCCCCTTGATCTGTAGACCGTTTAACTGCCTTATTAGATGGAATGTCAACAATTTCTGAATCAGAATCGTCATCGGGAGCACCCGGCGGTGTAACGATGATAGGACTTTCTAGGAGAATTTCAAGTTCGGAAGCTGACTCGGGCTTCTTGGAGCCTGCAGCAACTACTGCCATCTCTTCTTCTTCTTCAGGATCATAGGCTGACCCAGGCAGAGGTGGGGTGAAGCTCCGCTCACTGGCCTCCTTCAACTCGCTTAGCATTGCAGAACCCTCCTCTGACAGTTTGGTAACATCAGGTATATCCTTCCAGGTACCTGAGAACTGGTCGTAGATGCGCTTAGGCTTCGTGCGCACCACAACACCAACAAGCATATGAGGACGTTGTTCTTCAAAACCAGGGCCATCTAAAGGAAGTAGAACCTGCGAACAAACCGAACACACCGTTACTTTCCCCTTTACACAGAATGGTTGACTCTCGATGGTAAATTTTCATTATTGTACAGTAGCATTTATAATGATTGAGATTCAAGAACCACAAAAACAAGAGCTGAAAGTTACCTGAGGAATTGGTTGATGAGAAGCCAATGGGATGATGTAGAAATCTTTTATGGATCTATCGCAGTTGCCCACAACGCCATAGCTGGAAATTCAGTTAACAAATAACATTTAGTTACCACACAGAAGAAAGTATTCTACAGATATTGTAAGTGATAGGATGGTCGATTAGTATCTATGAGCCCAAAATTTCAATTAAGTGACATACTGTCAACAGATTCCCTACGTACGTCCCAGCACATGGAAAGGGGAAAAATATCAATCATAAAAGAGGTTCATTCAATGATCAGGAGTGGGCACCTACCGCTTTTTGGAAGACAGGTAGGAGTAGAGAGCGATGTAGAAGACTTTCTCCTCCTCACTTGAAGGCTGAAATCGAACTACTAGGATTTCCTGAAAACAAATTAGGCACTATTCAATAAAAAGCAAGTAATGTAATCAGGTAAACGACTCAGCGACAACAATTTCCTACCTACAAGAGAAAATTCAACACAAACAAGACAATGGCACTGACTGACTTAGTACTTCCAGCTGAAAAATATAACTATGAATTAAACAATTAGGCTAGGTACGATTTCACAAGCAGCTGAATGAGAAAGGGACTGCATGAGGTTAACCCTGACTTGACAAAGAACCAACCCCCGTCCGTCATACTATTTAATGCTGAATTGTCAACGCTATGAAGCTTCACTATCCATGGTTAAACTAGTACAAGGTTGACCCATGAGAAACTCATTTTTGCGGATGTAGCTTGTTGCAAGTCTGTGACGTCACATCTCAGTGACGTCACGGGCATTAACCAATCACCGAAATGCGATCAAACCAGTCAGCCAATCCGTCATGGGAATACCGGGTCTGTTTACGATTCACGATCTACGTGACGTAACAAGAAAGCTGAACTGAATGAAGGAACTTCTCGTGGGTCAACCTTATATAGTTCAACCATGTTCACTATCAACTGGAGTTTTTAAAATTGAAATTATCAAGAACTTCATGCTATGAAAGACTATTAAAACCCAGTCCATCTTCTGTAGCTTTAATTTGGAAGGCTAGATAAACCTAGTCTTACACATGTTAATGACTTCAATTTGTGTAATTGATATTACGGAAACAAAAATGTAGGCTGACCTAATGAGGCTTAAAGCTAACCTTGCTGGCTGCTTTCTTGGTGTCGGCAATGTAGCTCCACACGTTTTCGGGGGATATGCGCCCGACTATGTCGATAGAATCCGGCACATCTTGGGTAAAATTCACTGACCCGCCTGAGACCTGCAGATAACAGAGGAATGATCAAAGCCATCACACAATCATAACAAGAGGAATCAAATATGCCGATAGCTATGGATGACATTTATGTGTAAAGAAAAAGTAGTGTTAACCGCAATGAGCATTTTTAACACGTTGACTCCAAAGTGGTACATATGCGTACCATGAAGTGTATTTCTCCAGGACGTATTGATACATAATTTAGGGTTACCAGATGGTCTAAGAAAACGGCCAAGTCCGCGAACAAAAAAGGTAACCGTGGAGAAAATTGGAATTGGTAACCTTGGAGAAAATTGTGTTGAACAATGTGCGGACACGATGGAGTGAGAAAGTTTCGAGTGCCGCAAGAAAATAAACTAGTGTGTGGACGCTACCCAGCGCAGGGCAGAGGACGATGTCTCACCTCAAAGGCCGTGGCCGTGAACTTGGCAACGTCCGTCATCTGCACGACGCCTCGCCAAATGGCAATACCTTCAGCCGCGCTCCGCGATGGAGCCTCGAATTTGGAAATGGACGATCGTTTGGGCTTCGTTTTCCGAGCTTTAGCTGCGTGTGGAGTGCCCGGGTACGGTGGAGCAGACGGAGAATATTCGCCATCGTCGAGAGGTGGTGTAGATGATGGGGATGGAGGAGTTTGTGGAGAGTCGAGCATATATTTATCTGAGCCATTACGAGCAGGAATAGGGGACTCAGGAGGAATAGCCTCGGGAGAGTATGGTGGGATATATGAGGGGTCATCCTCCATAGGGGGAGGTGTGGTTGAGGGGATCAAGTCATCCTGATCATGAGGCAGATGAGTAGGGAGGTTTGGAGGCAATGGAAGCTTAGTATAACTTGCTTCACCGGGGAGCGGGCTGTAAAGTTAAGAAAAATACATTAATTTAGTTCACAATAGTATATCAACTTAGTTTTATCCACAGAAAAGTAGTTATTCTCCATCAATACAAGTGATGCAGCACTTGACTCGAATATTTTCAAACAAACTGGAACGCACACACACAACTTTGGTAACAAAAAAAACCTATAGCAAAAATTTAATCTGCACCATTTGATAGCATTTATTAGGCCTAAATTTATCAAGTCAACTAACTCTTTCACCATTAAGAACCGGAAATACTCACCCGACGGTGGACGAAGGCTGAGCGTCTTGTTCTTCGTCAGCATCGTCAATGGAGTCGAGGTGTCGCCTTTCCACGACGTCGTCGCTCGTGGTGACTTCATTCGCACTCTTCTTTTCACGTCTGTCACTTTTGCTGTCGTGACGATGACGGTCACTATCATGACGTTTTCTGTCACGATCACGTCGATCATGCTTATCTCGATGACGCCTATCGTCACTATCACGCCTGTAGTCTTTGTCACGTCCATCATCACTATGGCGTTTGTGATCTTTGTCACGCCTGTCAACACTATCACGCTTGTGATCTTTGTCACGCCTATCATCACTATCACGCTTGTGGTCTTTGTCACGTCTTTCGTCTCGTTCTTTCTTGTCACGTCGGTCACCTCTATCGCTGTGGTGACGCCTTCTTCGCGAGTCATCGTCGTCGTCTCCGCGACTTTTTTTACGGCTGCTTTTGCCTTCATCGTCTCGTGAATGCTTCCTGTCATCGTCGCGATGGTCCCTCTCACTGTACCGTCGCTTATCCCTGCTCGACTTATGCCTGCTGCTGCTGTGTTTATCACTCTTGTTTTTGAGGTCATCAATAGTGGCTGCAGTGATGGCCACGCCTGACGTGCCAACGCCGGTGAGCTCCTCCACCAGAGGCTCTTCTTCTGGGAGCTTCACAGCCTCGCCAGCTGCAGAACGAAACACACACTTATAAACCTTTGCATACAACTATCTCAGTAAATAGAGAATACAAGGAAATTCGCTAACTAAGAATTCAATAACAAAAATTTTCAAATGAAATGCTTGCATAAAAATTTCCTATTGCTAAAAAAGCCATCAGTTAACTCTGTATTAGCGTTGCTTATCAACACATACAGTGGGGGGAAATAAATATTCGTACACTTGAAAAATCGTATTTAAATGTATGTAAGTACCAGAGCTGGGCAGCGCTACTTGGAAATGTAGCGGCGCTACCGCTACCGCTACATGCTCTAAATGTAGCGGGCGCTACCGCTACCGCTACACCCACCAGATTGTAACGGGCGCTACCGCTACCGCTACAGTAATTGTTTTTTGTTGCATTGAGATTTAATTTCTTTTGATAGTATTTTTGAATACTATGCGTCTTTATACATAATTTAAATCACTTTTCCTGTTAAGCTTGTGTACTTACATACATTAAAATACGATTTTTCAAGTGTACGAATATTTATTTCCCCCCACTGTATACACCAAAGTGAATTACAAAGTAATAACAAATTACGTGAAGAATTTAAGAAGTCATCGCGCGTTTTTCTGCTACTTTTTCGTTAGACGAATGATTTTATAGACTTACCTTTCTCTCTGTCTTTAATAAAATCGTCTTTGTCGATCTCAATTTCTCCTTTATGGCTCTTCATGATGTACGTGTTGCCCAAAGCCAGCCTATCAAGCTCATGCTTCTGGATGGCTTCAAGCTCCTGAAGAATGAAAGCAAAACTTCAACATCATGCAAACTACTGATAAGGTAGACCATTGAATTGAATAAGGAAGACCATTGAATTTTTTTTTGGCGATAGGCCTTTGTGTCAAGATTAACGGAAAATAACAGAAAGTTAAGAACAAATACATAACGCATCACGTGTCTAAGTCAATTTTACAAAATATAATTCCGCGATTAAGTTTGGGGGTTATCTATAGGTAATACGATCGGAAACTGTAGTGATGAACAGTATAAACAGTGTTATAAAATATATAGCGGATCAAATAAATAAAACACCGAACGAGCGTTCAAGAATTATGGCACGCAAATTTTTCTCCTGCACTCAGATTTGACCGATGAAACATACCAAAGGAAAAAATAAGAAAGAATATAGTATGAAACGATGCTCATAAGATAGGCGTAATTCGTGTAAGCATTTTCTTAAAAAATAATAAAACAATAAAAAATAATAACGCAATGGCCGAATTCTAATACAGACAATGCAACATCGTGAAGTGCATTCTTCACAAAATTTCAACGCGTAACCTCGTTCAGAGTATAAAACATCCATCACCTTTTTGCCCTGCGTTTGCCTCCACTCTGCGAGTTCTTTGGACGCCATCTCATCGGAGGTCATGGTGGCGAGCTTGAGAGGCGTCACGGCTCCCGTCAAGATCTGGCGGTAGAGGCCGCCGTTCTTCTCATCGCGGATGTTGAAGACGAGACTTCGGTAGCGTGACTTGTACTTTATGTTCACGCTCTGAACAAGAGAAAATCGGTTATTCCTGTAATTTATGATTTATTCTTTGGAACGACTAACTAATTGCATTAAAACATCGTTTTTATAGTGTCTTAAGGACAAAAGTATAACAAAAATGTCGAAAACATTTATCACGGAAATTGTGACCTTGAACATCTAGTCTATAAGTAGATATATGAAGAGTATTAATTGTAAGTTGGGTTGGCCGTTCAAACCTGCTTAAATGATGAATTCTGTGCTATTTTACTAACTTATTAACTTTATAGATACCAAATACTTGCTTGCAACGATCATTATACCCTTTTCAATTGATTAAATTAATCAAATAATTAACTCACTTTATTAAAGTAGACGAAGAGTTCGTTCTCGATGGTCTTGACGAGCTCCTCGATCTTGTTTTTGTCAACGTCAGGGAATTCGGCTCTGTTCTGCTCACACCGTCGCAGCAGGCAGTCGGTGAGAGCTTTGCGCACATTGCGGCGGATGTCGTGTACAGTCGGCGCCGCAGGTGTCGGCGGGGCCGCAGGCGCGCTGGGCGGGTGTTCCGCCCGACTGCTCTCAGATTCAGAGCGCGATCTCTGTCGTCGAGTACGCACTTTAGTTCCACTTCTTAACCTCATTTCTTTAATTCGATGTGGCCTCAACGCACACTCCACTGATTCGACTTTTATAGCCTCGTGGACTAGACAGTAATAGCAATAGATTGTAAACGAATACAAACTTTTTTATTTAATTTACAGTGAAATTGAAACCCAATATACAAACATGCACCAACCCGCCGAGCGGTAATATAATAGAGAGAGAATTGGAATGTTGTAGCGGATGATATGCATTTAAAAAGTATCATGGATACGAGAACGGTTCTTCTCGATTTAATTGCCAACTCGATTCTTCGTAATCATTAAGTCAATTAATTAAATGTTATAGAAAGTTTGCTTTGATACTGTAGCCCGGTTCTTTTCCTCTAAAAGGTTTATTTTTAACATGAAACGTCGATAAATTTAGATTTTAAAATGAGATTTAAATTCCTTGACATTAACTCTTCTTCAGGGATTATTAAGCTTGTGGAGAAGAATAGGAAATAAAAAGGAATCCGGGCTGAAACAAAATTAAAATAACTATGTACGAGTTGAACATTGCTCACAGTAAAATTTATGGCTGAGATGCCTGAGCTACAAATAGGTCGAAGATTTACCTAGTTGGAACTTCGATTAATTTCTTTATATTCGTCAGGCGATTAATCTAACTTCTGAAACGTAATAATAAAAAAACTCATGTGCCGGACTCACCTTCTTGCTTTGTTTGAGTTGAGGCTGAGGAGTCTCTGGTTTATGTTTTTTAACGGGCTTTGGATGGAGTTGTTCAGCAGCAGCAGCAGCAACATTAGGCGGCGCCTTGACGCTCGTCAGGAGGATAGTCTTCCGAGGTCCGCTGCTGGAAGACACCACACAACCACGGTCGGTCTTATCAAGGTTTAATTTAGCCTTAACATTAGCTAACTTAGCCGAATAATCTTCAGTAGTCACTTCCCATGGAGAAGACCGAAACCCTTGTTTTCCCAAAGTGAAAGGAGACGATGAAAGTTTCTCGGAATTTTTAGAATTCAGTTTTTCTCCATCGTAATGACTCGGGAACTTTCTATTGATCGATTTCAAAGAATTAGGCTGCCATGAGGGCGGTCGTAGCACGGTGAATTCATTCGAAGATACGCATGAAGAATCAAAACTTCGAATTTCTTTATAATTTACACGGTCAGGAGTGCGTGCATATGTACGGGAGTACTGCGTTGAAACTTCAGGAAGATACGTCGACTTGTAGAGGTTCGATATCTCGAACACATGACGAGCGTGTTCATGCTTTAGATGCGACCCTGGCTGTTCTAGGGCGGGATGTGGTCCAGTTTTTCCCTTGAACTTTTTCATGAAAAGGTAACTCGTTGCATCTCCATTGTCCTCTTGCGTTTCTTCTTCGGGAGATTTGCAAGCAAGCGAAGCATTTACTTCTCGCGACATTTTTGAATGAGAAAAATGCGAGATAGGAACTTCGCTTAAGTCAGCAGCTGCGTTAGTTCTCACCAATGAAGAGCAATTACGCGGCCTGTTAATTCAAGTTTTCGCTAGTCACGCATTTTGAAAGCTGAATACACTGCAATAATTATTTATCAATATCAAGAAAATTTCACCAATACGTGACAGTAGTTCATATAATGCAGCGCATGCCAATAGAATAAACTAACTTAAATATCAGTTCATAAAGCGGTACACAGATAAATAAAATTAATGCTCTTAGAAAGTTTATAGCGCTTTAGCTTTATATTCGTTTTCCTAACTTTACTTTTTTGCGACAGAGCAAAACTCAACTCGAACACCATTACAAAAATTTAAGTTACTTTTACTTTGCTTATTCAAGTCGGCGAATATAGAGTATTTTTTCAATGACGTGTCATCAGAAGCATAATTGAAAGTTCTTTGCTTTCAAGTTTAATACAAAATGAGATATTTAATATCCGTATGTGCTGGCATTCAACAATGCACCACATAAAAACATTCACCATCGATTCCCAAAGAGTTATCATTTCTTTACCTGGAATTTCAATTCTTAGAATGCAAACCAACCATTGGTCGGACGAAATAATTTTGGACGGTGATCTTAACGAAGACTAGATGGAGCTCTGAATATTAATTATAATGAGAATCTTACACTAGTGTGAAGCAATCATTCCGGCTCGAGATCTAAACTAAGACTAAACTGAGCTCAGAATATCGTAATGATAATCAAAATAAAAGGAATCCTTATAATGGGGCATCATTATCTTGGAAATTTAGAATGAAGCTAAGCTATCAAAACTAAGTAATTAGCAGAGCTGAGCACTCACGTCTGAGTGACGGGCGCTGACGACGACCCCGACTGTAGGTTCTCCTTGAAGCCAGCCTGCGCCGCGGCTTTGCTGACGTTGATGGTAATGCGGCCAGGTTTGTTGGGGGCCCTCGGGTCTGCCACTCTGGGTTCACTTGACTCTGAAGCCCGGCGAGGGTTTACAGCGCCAGGCTGCACCAACGAGTAGTCGGGGTTCAGCCTCATGAACTCCGTGAGTTCACTCAGCGTCGGCGCGTCTTTACCTGCAAACAGATCGTGCATATTAATTGAGCTCCAATTGAAGAAGTGAGTTTGTTGGAATATCATCATGAACAAGCGACCAAATATATGCATAGAAGACTAAGAGTCGTTTTATGCCATTTCACAAGTTTAAATCGAGACATTTTGCATGAGCAACCAATTTTTAATTTGCCACGTTGCACGACTTAAACCGGCATTATGGAGCGGGCGGATTTTGGGCTGCAGATGGATGGGCAGAGGTCAGCAAACGGCAAGAAAAAGTAACGCGAGTATTTTGAAGCTATCATCATGGAATATTTCCCGTGCCATCGCATATGATGAACGACAGCAAGAGTAAGAACTCTTGCTCTCAGATTAGAGACGGACTGTATGGTAGTCACGTGAATGAGGATAGACAAGCATTGGCTCAAGACAGCGAGTTGAGGATAGACAAACATTTGATCAAGACAGCGAGTTGAGGATAGACAAGCATTTGCTCAAGACAGTAAGTTGAGGATAGACGAACATTTGATCAAGACAGCGAGTTGAGGAGCTCACCTGAGAGCACGTGTCCCGTGTTGTTATTAACCACCAGCACGCGAGGGTCGCTCTTCACTTGCTGGTCCACGGAGGGCTTGCGTCCGGCCACCTCACCCACATTCATCTGATGAGCATCAATAATAATCAATTATTAAGATCATTATTATTATTATCATTAGTACCTATCGAGTGTCATTCGATTACTCGAACAGCAAATTTGTAGAGAATCCGCGAGCAATTAATACCTATTTAAAATATTCCTTACACATTTGTTTTCATAAAAACAAGATTGCGAGATATCAAACGACAACGAAGGTGCTTTTCCATCCCGAACGCGCTAGTTTTAACCTGTTTTAGCAATCTGGACAGCCTACAAAACAAATTCAAATTACGCGGTCCGAGGTGCTTTTGACGACTTATAGCTAACTTTTGATAGTTTAGCACACATGTAGTAAAAAAATTTGTAGCCGCTGTTACATGAATGAATAGTGAAAATTGGTACTCAGCAACGCGCAACATAATTGCCATTAGGCAAACTTATTCGAAGCGTCAATATAAGCCTGTGACTAAGAGATGCAATAGATCTCTAGACAAGTTTTCGTGTTCGGCAAGGAAAGAGTGACGCGGTGGAGGCGTTGGGACAATGTCAGCAGATGTCCAACTTACGTCCGCCTCAACGTAAGGAATCTCAGCAGGCTAGGGGGCTTTCAGAGTTGTAAAATGTAAACCATAACTCGTATAAAGTGTCAAAAGGTATCTATCATCTTACTTTAAAGCCGGTTCGTCAGAATAAACTTCAATCGACAGCACAGATTGAAAAGTCAATGACCAGAATCGCGGATACAGTTTCTCAAACAAATTTCTGTTCTTAGGTCTTACTATCCACACTCGCTTCCGCACACGTAGCGGCTGATTTTTTGTCTATGATTGATGGGTTTAGCTTGAAAGGCCATCAGTGACTTGCTGACAGAGTTAAAAAAAACTCTGTTACTATTTTGAACGTACGGCCCCTGGTAAGCAACCTATTACCGAAGTAATTTCCAGCTCACGTTGTCAAAAGGAATATCTGAAATGAACATGAGCAGACATACCGTCCATCAGATGACGCACAACACACACCTTTTACGAGCTCGCTGAACCAATTCATGGACAGGTGGGACTACAGTAAACCGTAAATACTGCCACATCAAACTGTCGTACCAACATTAATGAAATTTTCTCATTATCCCAGCATTAAAACAACAGTCAAAACTCGGTACCTGCACCTCCAGAACAACCAACTCAACTGCCCTACACCACCAAGTGGACCAGAACAACACAATCAAAAATCGATGTCCGCAGCTCCTTCTGACTATGTGACACTAAGTCACTGGATGACACTAACTCTACTACAGCCCTACAGCACCAAGTGACCGGACCTGCAGTGGTTCGTGCGTGGCTCGGAGGGCGGATGCGGCGTTCGTGAGCACGCAGGCGTCAGAGCAGAAAACGGAGCCAGGCCGCCGCACCGCCGTCCGGCACTGGCCGCACGCCTGACTATCTCCTACAGCAGAAGCCGAACCCTGCAACACGGCTGCTGTCATTTCACCCGACTATGGCACTCACAACCTGACATTTCTAGTCCTCAATGAACACTTATGAGCAATAACCAGTGATGCTGCCACACAAAACTCTAAGCGTGTTAGCAAAACAAATTCTCCGACTTACTGGAGACATAGTTTGGTATCAAGGAAAATTACTACTGTTACTGAAATATCCAAACGAGGCACGCGTAGAAACCGAGAAACCTTGTTCGTTGGTCCACCCAAAAAAGGGAAGGCTAAGGCAATAGTTAGTATCCAGAACGCATAAAACAATTAAAAGGTAACTAGAGTATAAATTTATTGGATTTTTCACTGTCAACTTGCCAAGTGGACACCAGAGCAAACAAATATAACAATTTCAAACAATAGCAAAACGATCAGACCAACGGAACTGCTTGAAGTCAAATGATCAATCACGAAACTAGAAAGTGAACAATTACGCTGAGTTAGGAAGGATGCAGCGATCAAAAGAAAACAAGGAAATGGAAGAAGTAGCTAGCAAAAATCTTCACGCGTTACCAAAACAAAATATCCCAGGAGTTGAAAATGATCTCACAACACTGCGTGAACAGTCGAGAGAACGGGGAACACGATGCCATCAACGAAGCTTCAAGCAATTCTTTATTCTCAGGTGTTCTAAGCGTAACGCATCACACAAAAAGTTATTCAGCATGAATGGATTCACAAGACGTGAAATGCACACGATATTCAGCTATACCCTCAGCCCAGGTGATGGTCTGGAGGTGGCGCTGTACCCCAAGCGTGCACACAAGTAGACTAGTACTTACGATGCTAGTACTAGTCTACTTTAGCTAGGACTAGTCCCAGCTCGGACCTTGCAGACCCAGGTTCGATTACCGTCATAGGAGGATGATAAGTTAAGAGAGCGGTGCTCTAGCGAAGCCGTCCAAAAGTTACCGTAAAATCAAAAAATAAGATCAGGACATCAAAAAATGACATGTACCTGTAGAGTTTTGGTGGCTCTCTTGCAGTTGGGGCATATCCATTCTTTGCCGTCTTCCTCCATTTTCTTGCCTGTTGAGATACAGAACTAAATTAAAACATTTTATGCATTTGAGCAATGTAAGGTTTATGAATACAAAACAACTTTTGAAAGTTCTGAGTCACTTGCAAAAATGAAGAAAAATCGTTAAACAGATGAGCCGTGAGTAAAAATAAATCGACTCCGGAAAAAAAGGGGAAAACAATTGAATACTGTAATTAAGGGGCATCTCACCCATGGCCTTGGTGATGCCCACACAGGAGCCATGGAACCAGTCCTCGCAGGTGTCGCAGCAGATCATGAAGCGGTTGTTGTGTGGACGCTGGCATATGCACCACAGCCGCTCTGGGTCGTCCTCCTCCACAAACTCTTCTTCTGAAGACAACTGCAATATCCAAAAATTGGCTGAATAGTGGAGCTTCAATAAATGAAGAAAAAAATGTCAGTTAATTGGATATTACAAAATTATAGCCAACTGCTATAATGCCAGCAATGGATGAATGCAACGCTCAGTAGTAGCGGCAATAGCAACGGAAAAAAATAACAAACAACAATTAGAACACAAATACGAATTAACGAGCCATTTACGTTACCCATGACACTCAAAAGAATTCCCGTATTCATGTTAACTGTTGTTATCAATACAAATGCAATCGACGTTCAATTTATTTCGTTACTTAATACAGAAAATGCGTAATGTTGAAAAGTTCGCATAAAAAAATACTTTTTTTTTCATCCTATTTTCGAGGTTTCAAACAATAAGTAAAGCAAATCAAACCCATGGCTCACCTCTTCCTCCTCCTCTTCTTTCTGTAAAAGCTCTTCAACGCTGAAGTCTTCATCTTTTTGAGCTTTGGGTAATTCATCAACAACTTCGACATCAACAGTCCTGAGCTTTTCCTCTTCCTTCTTTATTAGCCCTCTTCTCCTCTTCAGCGTGTGCTGGTCTTCATCATCCTCATCAATTAACTCATCATTATCTTTATCAAGATCTTTATCATCATGATCACCATCGTCAGACGAATCAGCCTCGTCTTCGTGGTTGTCCTCACCCAACATTATCATCTCGTCACCGAAAGATTTCTTCTTAGGCGCACGATTGCTGCGGCGCACCTGGTCAGCGGAAACAGGGTCAACGGGCCTGTATTCCTCCAGGTCGTCGAGCTCCTCGTCCTCTTCATCGAACTCCTCCTTGTATTTTGCCGACGCCGGACTTACTTTGAGTTTTTTAGGGGAACTCTTGAGCGATTTTAATGGAGTTGCACTTTTATTTTGAACGAAATCGACGGTTACAGGAACGTTTTTTGAGACCTTGCCAAGTTTGGTAGTGAGTTTATTGAGAAGTTGTTTGTTAGCGTCCTTATAAACCTGAGAATCATCCTTACGTTTGACTGGTGTTGCTGATGTCTTAACCTTTGACCCTCCTATGATGCCACTCCCAGTAGCAAACTTCTTCACAACTTTATTCGTTTTTAGCGACTCGTAGGGCACATCGAGGGCACTAGAGAATAACTTATGCTTCTTCTGTAGCGGCGGCTCAGGTGACTTTTGAATTATTTTGGGCGATTTGGAAGAATCGGCTTCTGCAGTGGACGAGTCTTCACGTTTTTTCTTGGCGGATGGAAGGGATTTATTGTGATCTTCAAACTTATGTTTTACATGCTCCTTACTCGATATGGAATTTTTAGGTTTGTTATCCGCCATTGTTTCCTTCATCTTCTTCAGGACCGATTTAGGGTCAGGCAACGATTTAGAAATCTTCTTGGGTGCATGAGTCGCCGCGTCGTCGACGTTCTTCTGGGCCAATTGCAGGATTTTCAGATAATCAGTCTCTACTGGATTCGACTTGAGCTTCTCAGACACAGATTTCTTGTCAAGCTGACAATTTTTCTCAGATCTTTCTTTATTTAAACTTTTGAACATTTTTTTCTTCACAAAATGGAAGTTGCCTTGTTTATCTCTAACGCGCCGAACAACTTGATGAGTTGCTTCCGCATGCTTTGGTGTTTTAGCCTTCTTCACGGCTAATTTTTTAGAGGGGCTCCCGCTTTTCTTGGAACTTTGTTTCGCTGACTTGTCAGGGCTTTGGTTCTTGGCACGTTTCTTAGCACGCGCTCGATCGCCTTCTCGAGTCGCGTCATCGACTGCATTCATTTTCTCGGATTCTTTAACTGGATCATAATCACCATCGTCATCGTCATCATCTTTTTCCTCATATTCACCATCCTCATCCTCATCTTGCTGATCGTCAGCAGCTTCCTGGATCTTTGCAGCATCTTCTTTATTCTCTGGTGAGAGTGACTTCCTCTGGACCGCAGGTTCCGCCTTAGAAGTTTTCTTCTTGACAGGCGCATTCTTGTTGGTGCCGATGACGCCCTTCTTGAGAAATACGATCTTCTTAGGCTGAGAAAGCTGCTCTGTGATGGACGGTGAGGCTGCAGGAGCCGTAGCCGCGTCAGCACCGCCGTGTAGATCGCTTAGCTGCTTTTCAAGATCGTCCAAATCATCTGAAAAAATACAAAATATAAATAAACAAGTCTCTAACACAGCACAAGCTGAGAACTGAGCTTCACGTTCATCGTGTGCTGGAAATTTTCCTAAAAGACGGTAATGATTCAAGTTCAATTATTATAAGTACGAATTATGAGATAAAGGCGTCAATAATGGTCATGCATCTTCGGACATTAGATCAGGAAGTCATCAAAATTATACCTTAGAAAATAATTTAACCGGTTGCAGAATAAATAAGAAACACAATACTAGACATCAGGTATAAAGAAGAAAAAGCAACGGCATTTGTGACACAGAAGCAATGAACCACTACCACTCGTGCCTTCGTCATAGTCTGTTTAAAACTGCTTCACAGTACATCAGATACGTTAACATGCACAAAACATTGTTCCAATATCAACAGAACCGTTCGCAGTGAATATAACTTTATTTTCGTACACGAAATTGGCGCGCAAACTCGGTACAATTTTCTAGTATTACGCACGCTTCGTAATAGCGGTCTCCCTCTGCTACCAGCTTCCTCTCTAGCGGCTCACTTGCCTCTCAACTTTTAAGTATCCATAACGTTATAAAGTTGGCTAAATTTTATGCTTTTAATTTATCCAGAAAAAATAAGTTTTCAAAACCGTGCTGTATGGCAGTGTCAGGTACTAATTAATGGGTCCGAACAACGAGAGAACTGAACATGTTCAACATCGACATCGTATCAATGAATTTGACTTGTACAATATTCACGATTTTACGTTACGGTCTTCAAGTATTTACGTCAACACCTGCTACCTCTTATCACTCCGCAGCTCAGGACTGCCTAATCATTCAACTATACATGTATTTCAGCAGGTTGAAATGCTCCAAATCTTTCATGATCACTAACCGTAATGCGGTGCTTGCAGCACGTGAGCCTAGAGAGGAAGCGTTGTAGTGAGGAAGAACCAAGTAATACACGTACCATCCAACGGTTTATTCTGAACACAGCCTAAGCCAACATAGTCAGTGATACATATTAACAAGGTAAGCTTCATTACAACAAAAAACGAATATAGTCATAAACCAGATTTCAAAAAGAACGATTATATTAGTCGCGAGTATTAAGTATTTTCTAATAACTCTTCGTCATTCGCTAGGGAATTTCGGCCTGGTTACTGTTACTGAAGTGTGCGTACATTTAAAGTTATAAATAAATTGAAACAATCAGTCAAAGGGACGTTAGGAAGAATTATATTGATATGATCGTTGAGCAACGTAACTACTTGATCTCACCACCTGTCGGTGTTATACATTCCAAGCACGAAGGGTACAAAATGAGGCGCGTATAACTCCCCAAAGACATAGCGGCTACCACGAGAACATAACAATCTCTTGTGAAGCTGGTGTATTCAGCGGATTAAAAATGGCTTCGAGCCTGATAATGAGGTTATCATGTCTGCAAAATACACTGAAGAATCACGAACACTGCCGTCATGAGTTGAATGTGCGAGTAGCACAGCTTGACAACTGGCGCAAAGGAGTTACGAAGCAATTAAGTCTATTCAACATTCAGAGCAGTCTAAAAATTATCACTCGAGGTGCAAAATCATAATTGGAAATTCCGGCTTTTAGTTCTATTTATTCAATAATTGTTCGTTTTTCAAATGCAGTCGTTCGTACCTAATAAAAATATGCGAAAACTGGAAACAAGGGAACGATTTTCAGTAAATTGATACAAATACGTGTACGTACTTAATCTTACGGGACTTTACCGCAAACAAAACAACGGCATTAATAACCACCGTTGTAGCCACACCGTTTCGAGCAAAATTGCGTTCAATTTATTCAATGGAGGGGACAATTTCAGACAAATATTCAAATATTTTATGCAAATGTAGATTTAAAAGGGTTGGAGTGCAGGGCAAGAAGTTAATTAACGATTACCACAATCACAGCGTAACTCTAATCTTGGTACCCGAACTTAGGAGGAACACCTTAGTACAGAGAGATCTCCTATAACAAGAATAAGTAATTGGCCTAAATTGACATGTATTTCGAGTAGTATTCACCAGTCACATTTTCACTAAATTCACATGAATTGCGCCATTGCAGTTACTCGTAACACATCAGAGACGTCAGAGAAGAATCGCTAAATCTATAGCAGATGTGCATTAATTTTATTGCGAAATTTACAGCGGAACTACGCACAATTATCAAACAGTGATAACGATAGACAAGCCTAAGACTAAATAATGAATGGTCTAGACTTGCAGTTGTTCGAAATTTTTAAAGTATATTATTCCCAAGCTAGACCTAAATCTTAGATCTGAATGCAAACTTAAAACAACTCACATTACAAGCAGTCGCTAAACTTCAAAAATTCACTGATGCGGCAGATCCGAATAATAAATAAACAGAATTTAACAAGTATTTAAAATTTCAACTCCACACTGCACTAATTTTTTTATAATTGAGGTAGCACTTGATCTTAACATCTGTAGTGGCTTAATGAATTAAGAGAATATACCGACTGCGGTGACAGTCATAACGTCAAGAGGCTGGCAACCAACGCTGTGTGTTTTTCAAAGGATCTGAAGCACAAAGGAAACTGGAGACACAAGCCTGACTAAGCACTTCATTACAATTCAATGGTAGAATTTAATCCCATGAATTGTAGAAAGCTAAAGGTATGTTCCTAATGTAACTACATTGACCTCTACCAGATCCCAAATCTGAACATGGAAGTCGTCAGTTTCCTTCGTTCGTGCGGTGTTACTACCATCAATGAGATCTTACTGATAACACGATGGCCTAATCCAGTAATATAAACAGGTTATTAAAACGCTGTAGTGGCTGCTCACAAACGTTTAATTTCGCTTGATGTAGAACAAGGCCGCGAATTTCGAAAAGTTTCATTAAATCAAGAGATCACTCGCCCAGGGTCTAGGACGTATGCAGTTCATGTGTGGCTAAAACTCGTCTTGGTGGCTAATGGTTGGATTCTATGCGTAGCACTATATCGAGGATTCAACATTTCTAGGTCATCCGACTCCTAGTATTAAATTGCCAAAAGAAGGTCAAGGTCACGTGGGAGTTTCACTTGACCTATGACTTGGTCGATCGATATGCCAAATAATTTATTCAAAGTAATCCAGCTAGACCCAAGTTGGACAACCTTGGTAATTTCAACGCACAAGGTATGTCGATAAGTGCCCGCTGGTTCTCACAACATACGGGTGGATTTGGAATACTTTTTAAGCTGGACCTCTAGATAATCGTTAGTAAATCAAACCGTAACCGAATGAAACTATTTAGTCGATAGAATCGATTGTGTCGACATCCTTTAGATGTGAGTACAAAATGTTCGTTGCCATTGACTGATGAAGGCCAGATAGTTTCAAAGAGTTAAAGATCCGAGCTGCGTCTTAACGTCCAAATCAGTTTCTTTCCAAGTTAACTCTTGTCATGCACGATACCGTACTCGACAGAAGTATCTTGAATGGCGTCGCAGTGCCTTCAATTCCTATGATTTCTTCAGATAACCCCATTGCAGGATCGGCACTAGCGTTTCTAACGGGGATCAAAATTCAAGGGTTTCAAATGTTGCCACCGCGAATTAAGCGCGTTAATTCTGATATTTTGAACTAGAACACATCAAACTATTTACGCAAATTTTAGTCTTTCTAGCTTGCCAAATTGAATTATTTCGACCCCTAAAAAATGAAGCTATGATAGCTGGGCAATCTGGCGCGTCACCAGACACTGTTACGCGAGACGCACCTTGTAGTCGCTCTGTAAATACCAGGGGTTATAGCTCACAAATTGTAATGAATTTTAAATGAGCTAGCAGCTTCATTCCACCAATCGTTGTTATCTTCGTTTTATTGTTCGTTCTAAGCAATGCTCGTGTCTTGAGAGAATTATTGATGCTGGTGTCTTGAAAGGATTCTTGGTTCACTTGAATGTGAAAAATCCATACAACGAAAAAAAAATTTTCGCCTCTTGAGTCTCCTGTGAACTGAGGTTTGTTACTTATCTGAACTTGTTGCCGAGGCAATATTCTATTCGTAGTTCAAAAGAAAAAATCAGACGCGTCATCAACCGCAACGGAGAACTGGATTGAAGCCCATTCTGCCTAACGCTGCGTAGTATGTCGAGAATAGTCTTATACAAAACAATTTTTTTACAAACGAGTTGTCATCATCCACGAAAAAATAAATATGTAAATAAATATTTTACATTACTAAAAATAAAAAGGACATTCAGGTAATATAACTAATTTCCGACGACCACTATCGAAAGGACCATTCAGGCGCATCATATACACATTTGCAAAAAATTTTTTGATGAAGGCACGAGTCAATATTGGTTCATAGCAAGATATGACCTTACCAAATACCTGCTAGGAGCGAAATACAGACTTATGTTATCACCCAACAACTTGGAAGTAAAATGCAGACAAAAATAATCTTATAAACTATTTGTACGACATGAGATAGATAAGGGATGTCAAAACATCATATCACAGTTTTCCATCACAGAGAACATTTGACGAGAAGTGCTGCAGAGAAGCAAGCAGCACTCACGCGGCGGCCGCCACACACCCACCTTCAGCCTCCGTAGCAACAGCAGCAGCTGGGCCTTCACTGCCACCATCGAGGCTAGGAAGCTCATCATCTTCCTCATCTTCGGGCATAACGGGCATATGTTTACCTTTACTGCCCCTCATCGGCGGTCTACCGCGTCCTCTGCCCCTAGAACCTCTCAACGAGCCAGGCCTAGAAACAAGACCACCACCCCTCCCACCCTCATGATCCGCACGCAATCTCCCACGCCCTGAAACTGAGCTCATGTCAGCAGGATTTTTCCGAGGTCTACCTCGACCTCTTGTGGCGGCTTTTGCAACTCGAGGGATGGACACTGGCCGAGAATTATGGAGCCCACGAGTTGTATAATCCGAGTCATCGGACTTGTTATCTTGCCCATCATCGTCATCACTATCTTCCTCTTCAGAGTCGCTTTCTCCACTTTGTTCGTTGTCAGATGCCTCAGGTTGAAGCTCTCTGGGTCTATCCTGGTTTCTATAGTCTAACTCTCCCTGTACTTCGAGGTTCTGGTTGAGGGAACCAGTCGACGACTCAGCCGCCATGAGCTCCTCTCTCTCCCGCTGCAGCATGCGCTGATTCTCTGCCAATATTTTCGTCACCTGCACACCAATACCAACGTTTCAGAGCTCATCTGCTATCACATTCATTTACCATATGGTGTGTTTTCACCTTCTCGCTGAACTTTAGATCATTTACCACAGAAGCAAAAACAAACTTTAAACAAAAGAACAAACAAAACTTTATTTCTATTACAAAAATTTCATTTGACCTCGCATCTTGTATACTTAGATAGGCGAAGAAGATCAGTTCAGCTACTCAGATGACCTCCATCCATCCATACCTTCCAGGTCCAAGTACATCTCAGAGCAGCACACAGCTCACGCTGGCCTATATTTCACAGCATTAGGTATCCAAGATCGGCCATCAACTCAAGTGAACGTTCATTCCTCAAATATTAGAAGTTTCACAATAACAAAGCTTCGAAAAGCATTGGATAACAACATGCTATCTCAGGCTACAAAAATGCAAAAATCAGTACACTCTCCTCCGTCTTGGTCTCGAAAATTCTTCACAAACTAGTCGCGTCTAGTCCGCTTACTCTCAGTAAACTTGACATTTAACTATAGGCCAAAATTATTAGCAACAGAAAATACGAGACGAACCAGATCATACAGTAGCATATCCTACGAATTTCGTACCATCAAATTTATTCCTTGTTGTTGACTTACGCGGTGTACCAAGGAGAAAGTTATTAGAACCATTTAGTTCCATTTAAAAATGGGCTCCAGGAACAAGAAAAAAACAGAAACTCTAAGTGAATAAAAAGAACTTATTCAATATTAATGAGAATGAACAAAGAGAGTATAAACTCCATCGTTACTCACCTGAACTAAGCTGAAAGTCAACATTATCATGATGAATGCGAAATAACACGGATTTGAATAAAATTCTCTAAAATTAACATCAATAAAATGTATTCAGTGCGTTAAGAAAGCCCGCCTGGCACCAGCTTATTTCTACATTCAAATTGAGGGCATCAATTACTTTAACCATCATAAAAAGCCAAAAAATATAACTCAACATTTCACTTTTTGCTGGACGTTTTATTATCTGAAACAACCACAAGCAATACGAGACAATTAGATTGTAAGTGATCGGCAGGTCAGAGAGCTTTTAGTTACAATTATAGTGACATGAGCACCTAAAAATTGCAGACTATTCGACCATCCAGAGATTACCAAGTGCTGGCTACAATTAACATGAGTAACTGAATGATTCTTCCTAAAGACACAACTTCCAGCCTAAATTTTTTTTACTTTTATTGCCTGGTTGGCGTCATGAAGTCAAATCTGAAGCAAATCAAATACATAATCATTAAATCCTGAAGTCTCACCTAAAATGTTTGTCATACGTTGCATAATAAGCAGCCTGTCGACATTGCCTCAACAAAGCTCAACATGAACCATCATATTAAAATAATGTCAGGATTCGTGAGTTTCTGGTGTTGTGCACTGACCTCGTCTCGTTCAGCCTTGTCCTGCTGGCGCTGTGACCGTCGTTTAGGAGGTGCTCTCATTCTGCCACGACCAGCCTTACCGCCAGCACCAGAGGAGGCACCCGTCACTGGGGCACAGCTCGCGGTGCTGTGGTTAGGGCCGGTCGGGTAAGAAGTAGAGTCGCCGGCAGGTGTACAATCTGATGCGCCTGAAACACGCATTTTACTTAACATATCAGAAGAACAAAAGAAAAATTATCCGACAAAAAGCTCAAAATTAATTATTACCACGAATAGGATAGTTGTATTTATCAAAATGCAAGAATGTATCTGAGAATAAATCCGCATTTGGATTGAAAAAGCGTTACAGCTGTTAAATTAACGCCTTGATCAGTGAAAAAAATTAAAAGGTTTTATACCATAAAAATCCAAAATAAAAGTTTGCAGAGCACCATATAGCAAGAGATAAAATAGTTCTTTACTTTCAATAACACTCAGCTCAGTAGGTGTAGAATAAGTGTGAGCTGATCAGCACTAGTAAAGCTCGACTGACCATGCATATGAAACGGCAGCAATCAATACACAATGCAATAATGATTATATCTGAGTAATCTGACATGTATTATACCAGACCAGCAACCAAACGAGTGAAATTTATCGTGATAAATATGATAGTGTGACCAAGGACATATCCACACAAGTCTCTGCAGACAGGTAAGACTATCACGTTAGCGTCAAAAGTATAATCTCGGTAGAGTCAAAAGTATCATCACGTTAGAGTGAGAAATGCCATCACGTTAGAGTGCAGTGAGAAATATCACGTTAGAGTGAGAAATATCATCAAGTTAGTGTGAGAAATATCATCACGTTAGTGTGAGAAATATCGTCACGTTAGTGTGAGAAATATCATCACGTTAGAGTGAGAAATATCATCACGTTAGAGTGAGAAATATCATCACTTTAGAGTGAGAAATATCAAGTTAAAGATTTGAAGTCGTTGGAGTGTACCAGAAGCAGCTGCAGCGCCCAGAATGTCCAGGAGGTTATCTGAAGCTAGCAGATGACGCGCCTCGTCCGTGCATAGGACGCTCTCCAATTGGTGTAGTGACTCGACATCCAGTGGCAGCTCAGAATAACCTCCTGCACCAACTTCTGAAACTACACGTCATCCTTTAATTGTCAGGGACAAATATGCATGGAAAGTGACTACACTATATTAACCGCCATTGTTTTTATTTATTTGAGTCTTTGAGTCGATAATTTGTTGGCTTGCTTTATAAGTTCAGGACAATTCAGGATACATGCAAAATTATTCTGTAAACGGTTGCAACAGTTGTAGAAACATAAAGTTCCCAATCTGTTTTTCAACGAAAATCTAAAAATTAGCTTCATCAAATTCAATGAAGTATTGATGAAAAAAAATCCAACTTAAAGACACCACAAAAGCTAAATTCATAACACACCAGAGTCCAAAGGGTCCTGGTAGTTGGTGGAGGTTGAGTTGAGGAGCCCTACTGCAGTAGCAGCCTGCAAGGTCGAGGTAGCGTCGGGGGAGTCATGCTGCGTGACGTCGTTCATGCTGCCACCACCACCAGCCATCTGAACCACACTCACTTCGCTCGAGGCGCCCGCGTGACTGGCTGTCATACAAAACATATGCTTACGACATTAGAGCCACCATTTACTGAGTAATTATTACATTATAATTTAGATTATGAAAAAAAAACTGAAGAAATTTTTGTGTCAACAAAGTGCGATAATCGACTATGTGTACAACTAGTGCAAGACAAGCCTGAAAATTACGTCCAATGTGATGCTCAGGTATTAGGAGCAACACATGGAGATGTTATTAACTTTTAAATTAACGGTAAGACCGTAAGACCGAGAATGATCCAAGGTGGAGATGCAACAGTGCACATTGATGCAAACTATTGCCTGTTCTGATTATTTCTTCTGATTGCACTAACAATGCAGTCTAGCATATCATTATCATCAAGTATTTAAATAAACTTGGTAACTTTAGATTTGCCTAAAACTGCCCTGGTATGATAGAGGCCTGTGCCCTAAACTCAGCTAGCATGGAAGAGAGCTGTGCTCTGACTCACCTAATATGGAAGAGAGTTGGTCTTGGTCAATTTGCGAGTCATTATTGACGATGATGAAGACAGTTTTGTTGCCACCAGAAGCTGCAGGAGGAGCAGCATTTAGGCTCAAGCCATCGCTGTTGTTCCTGTAGCTGCTGGCTGGAGTGGAGGCATCACTGCAGTCTTTCACAAATGAGCTGGACATTCCTGCAAAATTACAGCACATTCAGTCAGATGAACAAAATACCAAGAACTTTCAGAGTGGCAAATGCCAGTCAACCTTTATGAATTAACTTGATAACTAGGCTCATAATGAGAAAAGCTTCAAATTGAATCATGTCCTGTGGCATTTGTCATGTAATTTACAACAGGATCTTGGTACTTTTTTGTATATGATACCACAATTCACCAAAGCCAAGCAAGAGGGAATGATGTTTTATTGTCATATAGCAAGCCTGATTCGAAAGTAATTAAGCAAACAATTCTTAAGTAATCAATTCTTAAGTAATTCAAACTGAGAGTTCAAAAGCTTGAAACCAATTTATTACATTAGAATACAACTGAAATAAAATGCTGACTGAAGGGTTAAAGGCTATTTTCTGCAGCAAGTGCATCATCAGAGATGCCTTGCACAGCTAGGTAGCAGCAAATTTATAGTGCATCAATAACTTGTAGAGCGTTTAGCATCAAGCGGGATGCCTCACTAGGTTCCTCTGATTCACAATTGGGTATTATTATACATACTTGTGAAATCTTCCTATCACAGAACTTTTCATTTGCAACACGGGGCAGGATAATAAATGAAGACAAATGATTAATTCCAGCTGCACATTTTTTCATACTGCTTTGTCAGAATGCGGATTCCTCTATTACATGTCTGCAGTCGTGTCTTAGTCTTAGCCTGTTGCACCATTCATAAATTTTCAAAATTTTAATGTATACAAAAAGCTTTTTTCCGGCTGAGCTCGTGCTAAAAAAAAGCCAGTAATAACTCAAGAGGTGGTACAGTGTGGAAAACTGGAGTTTGTATATTGCAACATACATTCGATAATATTACAACAAATCTTTAATATATTAAAGATTTGTATATTATTCTGTTATGGCATTATGATCATTTGATTAACATTTGAAATTTAGACCTCATGGAAGCAGACACTTCTATCAGAATGAAATTAATATATGTTCACTTACTACAAGTAAACTAAGTAAGTTCTTGGAAATTGTAGCTGAAAATGCCAAAATTAAAATCTTGGTAATCTGTAAGCACTGAACTATATAGAAGTGTATTCAGCTTGACCATTTCAGTCAAAAATACATATTCAATGAGTACTAAATCTACAATGATGTTCCCCAGTCTTGGCAAGGAGTCATTATAAGACTGCCTGAATAAATAAAAATCATAGAATGGATTTGTTTTACACAAGTTCAACAAGTATTTAGACTTGAAAGAAACACTCTAAGTGACATCAAAATTTTTCTGTATCATTAGTTGGAGTTGAAAGTGATATCCTACAACTTGCTAAACTTGAATAAGTCCTTAACTGAGTTAGCACATGTTAATCATTGATGCAATCCCCTAAAGATATGTGGGTAATTGCTGAAGAATTTATTTATTTGCCTACAAACCTAGTGTTGTAGAGTTGATCCCTAGATTTTCTCTTTAATATCCATGATACAGTAGCCAAGGAGTTGCAGCCCAGGGTTGGTGATTTTTTTATTTTTTCAACCAAAAAAAATCAAAAATCAATGATTTTTAAAATATTTTTCATGATTTATTTATTTATTTGATTTTTTCATGTCTTTGTGGAAGGTTATTCTTTATGTTGCAATTAGCCTACTAACAATATCAGTACCATAAAATGGGGTAACTTAGACTCCTGGGGTAACTTGCATCACTTTTTGTTTTTTTAACAAAAACCCCCATAACTCAAAACTATTTGACATAGAAAAATTGTCAATGGCAGGGTTGGCAATGATTAAATCAAAATGATTAAATCATGTGATTAAATCACTTGATTTTTTTATAAAAAATCATGATTTTTTTCATTTTTTCGATTTTTTCATATATTTAAAAATATTGAGTGGCAGTCTTTAATTTATATTGAGGTATTGTTATTCATGGTTTAGTATAAATGTACTTTGAATGACAAATTGGCATATAAACTTGTTGCCTTTAGTGTGTACTGTATTAGGTTCCAATAAATTGAATGTTTTTGGTACAGAGGCATCAAGTGTACAATACATTGTACGTAGCTAGCAGCTTAGCTAATTCTTATAAGGCTATAAGTAGTCTAACTATTTGACTATTTGTTATATATTGATTACAATATACAATTTAAATGTGTTAACTAGCTTATACAGGGTGGGGGCAGAACTGATTGAACAGTTTTGAGGCAAAATAACAGTAATGGAGGTACATAAAGAAGAAAGTTTATTTTGCTTAAGATTAGCATAACATACCATTTAAAATACTTATGTTTTGAAAACAATATCAGGAAGATGGTGTCTGTTAGCTGCAACACACTGTTGGAGTCGTTCTCGGAAGTTTCCTACAGCATGTTCACACATATGGTGAGTTGGTGAGGCATGGCCATAACCTCTGCAATAATCCATCCCTTTAACTGTGGTAGGGTGTGAGGGCAACTTCTGAACACCCTTTCTTTTAGATGTCCCCAAAGAAAGAAATCGCAAATGCTCAAATCAGGTGACCTTGCAGGCCACTGCAAATCACCCCTCAGAGACACCAGAGACCAGACGTCCAGGAAACATGAGTTTCAAAACATTGAGTGACAGTTGGGCTGTGTGGGCTGTAGCCCCATCCTGCTGGAACCACAGGTCTCTCAATGCATCATTTTCAACAATGTTTTCCATCATGGGCTGCAAGAAATTTTGCAACATTGCAGCATAGTGATCGGAATTCACTGTCATGGTTACTCCCTCCTCTGAGAACGACTCCAACAGTGTGCTGCAGCTAACAGCCCCCATCTTCCAGATATTGTTTTCAAAACATAAGTATTCTAAATGGTATGCTATGTTAACCTCTAGGAAAATAAACTTTCTTCTTTATGTACCTCCATTACTCTTTTATTTTACCTCAAAACTGCTCAATCGGTTCTGCTCCACCCTATATATTGAGAGGTTGAGATTGTATTGACCTTTTAGGCAATTAGAAAGATTTTCCACCCTAAATACGAGTATTCTAATTAAAATATTCAATTTCAATCTTCAAATATGTGAATTTAAAACTAGAAACAAAACAATTGCAATTATAGGACTATATATAAAATAATTAAATGCAGTGAATGGATATAAAATATTTGAATTGTGCACATGTTTATTTCAAAGTGTTAGCTTTTCACATAACTTAAGTCTCGTTTCAAGTCGTATGAGGTTTGTTTGGTTATCGTTCAGTTTATGTTTAGTATTGGTTTATTGGTCTGAATGGGAACAGTGCAGTCAGTCACTCAGTCACTACTAGTTGGTGTGTATAGAAGGTAGAGTCTGGTAGATTTATAGGACATAAAACTAGTAGATCTATTGATAGTGCTGTGCACTGTGCTATCAGCTACCTATCTGTTATGCGACTCTTCAATGTTTAGGAGATCTGCATTCCTGAAGTGTTTTTGTATGTTGAAGCAAGTTAAATGGTCAATATTTAGCTCATAAACTTGCTCCATACAAACTTTACAAAGCTAATGAATAGACTTATCAATAATTGTTTACCCAGAAATCCCTAAGTGGGAAACACCACCTTGGCCTGCTGGTCATTATTAAGGCAATAAGTGCCCTTTTTAGCCATCCATTATGATAGTTATTGTTAGTAGGCTAATTGCAACATAGAAAATAACACCTCAAAAAGACAAATAAGCTGAAAAAATAAAAAAAAATTTAATAAATAAAAAAAATCATAAAAAAAATAAATAAATAAAATGGCCAACCCTGGCTCAATGGGCATCAAAGGCCTAATACTGAGGCTACATAATACAATGGAAAAATTTAAAAAGTTTGCATATCTAATAGGTTAAAAAATTAAAAATGTGACTTACAAAAAAAAAAAAAAGATATTTAAAGCCTGTAAGAGTCCCTTCTTCAATTTTTTCATTTTTTGGTAAAATAACTCCAGGTTTTGATGCATTGTAGTAGAACTCTTCTAGTTACATATGCAAATGACAAATTTTAGGAAAGTGTCATAGTTTGCAAATTAGGGGCACCACCCCCAAACAGGGGAACTAAGACTACCTAATGTCAGCCCTGATGGGGTAACATAGACCGGCTTGGAAGTAAATATAAAATTACCATATATAACATATTTTATGTTTGACAACCTATTAATGTTTTTTCTTTATGTTTCAGACTCTACAGAGTCTTATATATGGTAATTTTAACTTAATATCCAAGCCAGTCAATATTACCCCATCAGGGCTGCCATTAGGTAGTCACGTTTCCCTCATTATGGGGCGGCACCCCCCATTTGCAAACTATGACACTTTCCTCAAGTTTGTCATTTGCATATGTAACTAGAAGAGTTCTACTACAATGCACCAAAACCTGGAGTTATTTGGAGTTATTTTACCAAAAAAAAAATAATTGATTTTACCACCCAGTCTAAGATACCCCAAGAGCTGGGGTAACAAAGACCATCACTTTTTTTTAAATTACACTATGAGAGGCAGGAGCCAGCAATTTATGGTGAGGGAACCTAGAGTATAGACCTGTATTTTGCATGTTTCAATTCAAGTTTAATTTAGCTAGTAAAAAAATGGCATTAAAAAAAAGTGGTCTAAGTTACCCCATTTTACGGTATATGGATCATAATGAATGGCTAATAAAATGTATAAAAAAAAATTTTCAAAGACCACGTTTTTCATGTGGACTCGAAAGTAGAAAATAATTTTTTGGCAGCTACTGATCTCTGTTTGCTTTCATTCTCTTGGTCTTTTGTATTTCAGTTAAAATATTTTACAACATCTAAAACGAAAAACGTGGGGCACATATGTATTTAATTGTTTGGTGATTACTTAATATGATGAATACGATGGTTCATTGAACATTTGATAAGTGTATTGCTGATATAATTAGAAATAGTGGTTGAATTCAAAATTGCAATTAAGGCATGCCTAAATGAAGATACCCCTACGTTTTTTGTTTTAGATGTAAAATATTTTAACTGAAATACAAAAGACCAAGAGAATGAAAGCAAACAGAGA